ATGCGATGCCAGGGGAGATGCGGTGTTTGGTAGGTTTACCCGCGAGCGCGATGATCGCTCGCAAAATCACTGCCCAATCTTTTGTTTATGAGCCGTGCTAGTGGATGACTTCCCGTAAGCCAAAATCCTAGATTTCGCAGTTCTAAACGCCATCAGCGTACCTGGTCACACTCGCTGCCACGGTGAAATGGAAAAATAGAACTGTTCCTCCCATCCGTAATGCCAGACCAACGCTCGACGACTGCAAGTCACGACCATGAGGTCGCTTTCCATTTATGGCGAGCGGATCGCTCAATTTAGCAGGTGCTGATGGCAGGTTTGATACGCGGACCTCAACCGAGGCTAAGCGAGCGTTTAGAGTCGTCTGGAGATTTGGAAAGGGGGGTCGACCCCCCCTGCTAGATTTAAAGTTTAGAGACGGTTTTTGCTCGACGAGCCTCATCAAAACTTGGTCTAAGCGAGAGCGTGACAAGACGGCATCTCGGCTTGATGCGTTTAGAGATTTAGAACTGCTCAAAACGCATTCTAAATGCTTACGGGAAGTCATCCAGTCATTTAACATGTATGTTCTCGTTGATGGTCGACGTTGTCTGTCGCGTGGGGTCGGCAGATACCAGTCTGAAACAAGCCCGCGAAAGCCGACTGGTGTCGTACGTATGCAAGTTTGCGGGTTGATATCTGATCGAACACAGTTGAACCAATGTCGAAATGTTCTTGCTTGCTCTTCACACTCGTGAATAACGTTTCAGAGTCTATACGATTGATCCATTTCGGCTCTATGTTGTAGCTTACCTCGAGGACGAAAGCAGCTGGAGAAGTCTGCCATTTTGAGGCCAAAGCCGATGACGGCGGAGTTTGGAAGCAGATTGACTTCAAAGTTCCTGCATATTCATCCTCTGTCATCTTCCGCGAGTGTCTGTAAAATATGCGTGCACATGGCCTCGCTGCTGCGTTTAGACATAACGATGCGCGCACAGGCCGGAGTAATATACAGTAAGAAGACGAAATTGTGTGCATTGCCTGTGGCGGTTCATCAAGATCACCTCGGGAGTTCGCGAAGCGCACAATCATGCTCGCTTCTCCGCCAAATGGGTTCTGTCCATACCCATCCGGAGATGCAGACCACCCGCGGTAGGCCGTGCTACAAAACCCATCTTGCGACGCGGAGAAACACCAGATTTGACCCTACGAGGCCATCTTATCAGGTCGTCCTCTGCGACGTCCATGGGCCAGCTACCGCTCGAGGTCGCCAATGTCCTCTCGGTGTGGTTTGAGGTGAGTACACTTTTGCTGCCGTCGCCCGGACGTAGAGCTGACAGAAGGCCGGACGCAGACGCTGCTGTATGGTACGCACTATCGAAAGTCTAGAAAGGTCAACCGTCTGCTCACGAGTATTGTTGCAGGTATATACTTCAGCCTGTTCTTCGAGAGTGTCTATGTCATCATGAAGAAGAAGCGGACAAAGACGCTGCCCGCCAAGGTCAGCCCCCCCTCCCGCACCTTCCCTGAGACGTCTCATATCTACTCATTCGTATAGCTGTTCTTTGCGGCGACCGTTGTCATGTTCCTTCTCGCGACAGTCCACATAGGTATGTGAGAGTCATTCTGATTTGATCCCTCAATTAATCCGTCACTAGCCATCAGCTTGTACCGCTTACTTCGGGGCTATGTCTGGCTGGCCAGCGACCCAGGACCAGTCGCCTACTTTGCGGATTACCATCGATGGGACAACGTCGCGAACGAAGTGATCAGTGGTATCCAAACGTGGATCGGAGACTCGCTTGTAGTGAGTTTCAAGAGAACCTCGCGAGTACTCGGCGTTCTGACGGAATATGGTGCAGATTTACCGCTGCTTCATCGTCTGGAGCCGGAACTACTACGTCGTCGCCGTACCGAGCGTATTGCTCGTCCTCAGCGTCAGTACGTGCAACCAACCCTATCAGTGCTCCCCGATCACCAATCACTGACGGTCCTCCCTACTTAGTCGGCAATTGCATGGTCTTCCAGATCTTCAACTCCAAGGACGTCGACGGCCTCTTCTCCGTACCCCTCCAGACGTGGGTCAACCTGATCTACTCCGCGACGTTCGCTCAGAACACGCTCACGACGGGCTTCATCGCGTACCGCATCTGGCGGCAGGACTGGGAGACGCGCCAGGTGCTCGGCCCGGGGTCGTACCGCGGCGCGGCGAGCCTCCTTCCGAGCGTGCGCGTGATCATCGAGAGCGCGATGATATACGCGCTCGAGGTGCTCGTCCTCATCATTCTCTACGCCATTGGGCACAACGGGGAGTATGTGTTACAGGCGGCGGTGACGCCTACAGTCGGTACGTGCGTTTCTCTGCTTCGGATCGGTCCAGCGATTTACAGACATCGAACAGGGATTGTGTTCACGATGATCACCGTGCGCCTCGCCATGCAAAGTTCCGAGGCGCTCATGACGACCGAGCGCCCGAGCATGGTCCGCTCTTTCCGCGCCGCGCCTCGGAACGACGTGCACCTCGCCACCACCATCGGCCACTCGAGCGATCGGGAGCTCGAGAACTGCCGCAAGATGGGAAGGGACAGTGAGCTCTTCCAGCTCAATTCCGTGGGGACGCAGCAGGCGCATGACGAATTCGACGTGCCGTTGTCGCATATATTATCCCCGGGCACGTCGGGGTCGTCCGCGGATGACGAGATCAAGCAGGGGCAGCAGGAAGTGTGAGCGGCGTCCCTTGCTGTGGCGGTGTCGTCCTCGATAGTGTGGTACTGAAGTCGCAACCCGCGCCCGACGGATGCGTGCCCAACGGGGAATAAGGTGCGCAGCGTCCTCGGGGGGCGCTGGCTCGCCCGAGGCTCCCCTCACGCAGGGAGCGGGGAATGTATCGGAAGCGGGGGCAAGGCGTCTCCTGGAGGCACGATGTGGTAATGTAAATCAATATGTGATATAATTGTATAACTATGAAAAGATCAATATAATCATGATAGGAGCTCACGTAAATTTTTTTACCTCGAAGCGCAGGAAACGTTACCTCATGAAGTTTGAAATGTACTGAAGGGGTGCCAGGAATGCACCTGGAGTATTCCTCCTGTCCTGCACCTGGGGATAAAACCTTTGACGACTGTCGACTATTTTACACAAATGACGGATAAATCTGACAACTACTCCTGGCTGGTGGTCTGTACGTCCCTAGCAAGTCTATTATACTCCACCTCACACAGGTCGTTCTCGAAGTCTTGAATCTCGCCCCAGTCATAGATTCCATCGTACTCCGTCAAACCAAATTCATTCCACCACTTCACTCTTTTCCCAAATTGTGCTGCAACGAGCTTGCGCATGCGCTGGATGTATGGCTCCACGGCGCCGCATGAGCCAGTGACCTTCGAGGAGAAGCGCATAAATTTCCACCCTTGGTACGGGATTATAGGACGTTCTCCGAGGAGGACTTCGATGCAGACGCCGTATGGAAAACGGCTTGCATACAGGTTCACGTTGGGATCGTCCTTGAATTCCTTCTCGATATCTCCGATCACACAGGCCCAACGCTCCATGTCGCTGGCGCGGTCTTTGGCCAGGCGGGGAATCATGTCGAAGCCGACGTCCATGCCCATGACTGACACGCTTTGACTATCGCACACTACTAGAAGTTGTGGTGGCGGGACGGACGGCTAGAGAACGGGCTACAGGGCACAGTCTGCAATATCTCAGTCGAGGTGTACAATTGGAGCTCGAAATCATCTCACCGGCTTCACTGGCACAAGGGACGAGGGGTCTCAGGTAGAACATGCGAGATATTTGACGCATCGGTAGGGTTCTGAGATGAAGTTGAACCTTACAGATATTTTTGCCGTTAGAATAGAGGTCTCATGTCTTTCATCGATATGACGCTCCTTCGCCAAACACTCGTTCATCAGGATTCAGGATGGGAATCGTCCGTCCATGAACGACCGTCATTGTGAAATGAAGAGAAAAGATTCATCCAACTGTGGTGTCAAGTCCATTTCTGCCCGCACGATTCTTGATACTGCAGCGCCGCCGTAGATACCCGAAGCGCGAGGTCCAGACGCGTATGACAAACCTAAACGTTCACTGGATGCTGTCCCACCTGGCTGCATAGGCTTAGAGCTTTCCATCCGCTCATAATGGCTATCCACTTATGATCGCTCGGCGAGTATTACTAGCGACCTCTATTAGTATCAGACCAATATAATCGGGATCTCATCGACGAACCTCTGCGCCTCTTCCGGCAAGCTCTGGAACAACGGGGCATTTCCTGTCATTGGTATGCATGCTTATAGGGCGGGTTACCGCTCATTCTTCGGGATGATAATTGCCCTGGGCGGCAACTGTGACACCCGGTTTCGTACCTGTGCCAAGCTCCGACCGATGAAAGACTCTTCTGATTAGTTCTACCCTTAGGCACTTTGGACCAGTCGTCAGACCAGGAATGACGGGGAGGGCATGAAGTTATCAGCGAACATGGGTCTTTTGCAGCATATGAGTTCACTTCAGTAAGTTGTTCTGGCGACATGAGGCCGATTGCTCCCATCTGTGGTTGGTCAAACAACTCATTGATAACTGGACGCATGCCGCGGCTTGGAATAAGACACTTGCTGGGGTCATAGACGATCCGAGGACGACTGTTCTCAGGCTGGCCTGAAACTCCTGTATGGTCATACTATCATTTGGGTAGTTTTGCAAAACTCTCTGTAAATCGACGTGTTGCGCTCAGTTCGCTGGCTCTTGCGTCAGAGTTTTTCATGGCATTGTGTAGCACCCTTCTATGTACCCAACTGTGATTTTTTTCTATTTTAATACGTGGTGTAGAGGATGCTGGACAGATGCCGGCGTGTGCAGGGGGTTTTGCAAAAGTTTGTCACGCGTGACATCCCCGCGAGATCCATCACGTTTTTGTCACGATCCGCCTCTCGAAGTTTTGCAAAACAGCATCGCTATAGCTACATCCTCAATCTCTTCACAATCGGGCTGCTTGAGTAGCTCAATGTATGGTACACCAGTATAGTCCAAACAAAATCCCGGCAAAACACCATGGAATGAGTACCAGATCTAGGTTTCACATGGTCTCGTCAGCAAAACGGCATGACCGTCTAAGCGAAGCTAAGAACTAATCTCAGGCAAATAAGTACAGTGAGAACAGAAAAATGCTAGCACCTTCAGGATTCGAACCAGCGACTGCAGTATCCAACCACACGATATAACCGTTGCACTACTAGACTACACTACTTGGTGCCCAAAACAATTTCATGATGAACTCAGCCATTGCCTTGAATGATAGCAACTCCCGAATTACGGGTCTCCGCCCTTGTCTAGTGCTACTGGTATACATTACATGTACAGCTATGATCAACAGAGCCATGTATATTGCTCTGCCGCCCTCTACAGCATCGGCTAAGAAACTCAGAGAGTTAGAGCTAAGGAGCTCGGTAAGGGCGCCTTAGCGGTACTTAGCACCTTAGCATGGGCTGCCATTTTGCTGATGCTGTAGGTGGTTGGAAACATCCTCCTCTTCCTCCCTCTCCATGACCACTCAATATTTCCCTAAACCAACTTGACAGAGGGTATCTACTAGTCTAATTCTACGTGCCTAAAAAGTCTCTGAATTTTTTAATTTGGTATAGAGCTCTCTCTAGGGGCTGCGGTAGTTTTGCAAATTTGCAAAACTACCCAAATGATAGTACAGCTTGACACAAGGGCTGGGCCGGAGGACCCTGCATGCCAGGGCTCTGACAGTATTGCGTTTAGGAGAAGGACACGTTGTACTGACATTTCGGTTCCGATATGACTGCATTGCAGCCGCGGACCTACATATCTTGACGGGATTTCTTCTCTAGCCCCGAGGTGCGCCGCATGATGGCTCTCACACCATGCTATTCACCAGGGAGAAAGGAGCTCCTATCCAGTGGCAGCGGAGAATGTGTATCAGCTTCACTCAACATTTATTGCATTCATCATGTCTGAGATGGTCCACCACATGCAGTCGGGAATTACTTGACTGAAACAGTGCGGCGGATTCTGACCTGTGCAAATATCCGATCCATATGTACTTTTGCAAAAGGAAGCATGTCCAGACAACCGGGTGTCCGCTCATCATGAATGCCATGCTAGGCATATACTGTAGCTTGTTCTTCGAGAGTGTGTATGTTATCCTGAAGAAGAAGCGATCAAAGGCCTTGCCCGCAAAGGTCAGTCTATGATATCTGTGCCTGTAGTTCTAGTGATGCCGCGGTCCGGCTCGGTCCGGTTATTGGCCCAAATTTCCGGACCTGGGACCGGACCCAAGGTCCAGTTCAGGTAAATGTCCGGACCGTGAACCTCAAAGAACCCGAAATGGCGTTGGGTCCGGTCAGGTTCGGGTTCGAACCCTTCAAAATTACCATATTCAGGTACGGTTCGGGCATTGTGGCTCCACCTGGACCTCATTTCAGGTTCGGTCCACCCCAAAGCCGAACCGCGGACCAGAACCTGGGTCCGGTCCGAGGTTCGAACTGGTTCTCCCAGGTTCGGGAACCGGACTGCGGCATCACTATGTAGTTCACACTTAGCCTTCCTTGTAGCTCTTCTTCGCTGTCATGGTTGTCATGTTCATTCTGGCAACAGCCCATATGGGTATGTAGGGGTCCTGACTCATTCCTTGGCTTCTCACATTGTATCCGCTTCACCAGGCGTCAGCTTGTACCGGGTGTTGCGCGGCTATGTCTGGTTAGCCGACGACCCTGGTCCGGTACCCTACTTCGCCAATTACCATCGATGGGATAATGTCGCGAACGAAGCGATCGCTGGTATCCAGACCTGGATTGGAGATTCTTTTGTAGTATGTCGATGTAAGTGCTCTTCTACCTGAACCAGCCGTGCACAGATATACCGCTGCTTCATTGTCTGGAGCCGCAACTACTATGTCGTCACCATCCCCACCGTATTGCTCATCCTCAACGTTGGTACGTGTCCCCGAATCTGCCAATGGATGTCAAGGGCTGTCACTGATGACTGTTCTGCTCAGTCGGCAACTGCATGGTTTTCCAAATCTTCAACTCAAAGGATGTTGATGGGCTCTTCTCCGTGCCCTCCAAACGTGGGTGATTCTGATATACTCCACGACGTTCACTCAGAACACACTCACGACGGGTTTCATTGCATATCGCATCTGGTGACAGGACTGGGAGACATGCAGGGCACTCGGGGTGGGGTCATATCGTTCAGTGGCGAGCCTACTGCCCAGTGCGCGCGTTATTATAGAGAGTGCAATGATCTATGCTCTGGAGGTGCTGATTCTTATTACTCTATATGCGATGGGGCACAATGGGGAGTACGTGGTGCAGGCGGCTGTGACACCTACAGTGGGTACGTACATCCTGCCTGCGAGGAATCGGTTATCGGTGATCCTGACTTATTTCATGCCCGACATGTAATAGGGATCGTGTTCACAATGATCACCGTGCGCCTCGCACTGCGTAGCTCCGAGGCCCTGAAGACGACTCACCTGCCCAGCGCCTTTCGCGTTGCGCCCACGGGTCGCATGCATCTCACTACTACCATCAACCAGTCTAGCGATCAGGAGCTCGAAGAGTCGCGCAAGGCGAGCGGTGACGACCAGGTTTTTGAGCTGAAGTCCGTCGGGACGCAGCATGAGCATGAGGAGTACGTGCCGCTGATAGGCACTAACACACGACAACACCAAAGACCAAAAAGAAATAAAACCTAAAACACCCAGCGGTATGGGTGTAGGCGGTCTAAGGCGATTGAAGGGTAATATTTAAGTTCGAAGGGAGGGGGAGAAGTAAGACGTCGTAGGGTAGCCCATAGGAAAACCTAAAACAAACAAAATCTTGAGGCCTGAAACAAACAGTATAGCGATTCTCCGGAGTATTTATCTCCGAAGTTTGCCAGTAGCCCGGGTGGGGAGTTCCACTGAACCCAAACAATAGTCTCGTGCCTACAGACGCTTGGTGAATTTTATACTTTAAATCCGGAGCTTACTTGGATCGATATGCGATGGCGGAGTTATCTAGTTTCGACGAGTCAGGCCTATTGGCAAAGCTAGGATTGATTGTAGACGCTAAGATTGTAGACGCTAAGTCCGACGTGAAGGGACTCCGAGGGTCGCTGAGACGGTAATTCTGGTACGCTGAGAGGGTGAAGTACAAAACTTGGATTTTCCACTACGCTCCATACATTTTTATGCTATTGGAATGGTTTTGCGTCCGCCCGGAGCTAAATAACGAATATGCTCCGCATCCCACACAATTACTCAGCCTTTGCCCACTGCTGTACCATGTCCCATACGATCCTGCCGTGTTTCCACGTGCTCGTCCTAGGTCCTAGAGGTAGCCTCGACGCGTCAATGCTCGCTTGAAGTACCTCATCACGCAGTACTGCAGGCTGATCACGTGCCGTTTAGCTCCAGCCGCTTGCTGACTGATACGTTCCGTCCGGCCGTCGATTTACATCCGCTGACTCGGTCGCTTTGACAGAAACGAAGGGGCATGATGACTGGGGAGTGGTAATACCAATGACTCACTGCGACGCGGGCCTCCGCTGTTCCCGGAGATAATTAGTCACAAAGGTATTCTTCCGGGTGACTTCGGAGCGTCTGGCTGCGGAGATAAATCATATTGGTGATCTGCGCCTGCCTTGAGGACGTTAGAAGGTCCGGAATTAAATCCAGAACCCTTCATCGGTTACTTGTAGCGTAAGAGGTTCGACAGGTGGTGTCGAATAAACTTTGGAGGGGATGTATGATGTGTCAAATTCGCAATTTCGGGGGTCAGAAGATCGCTGGGGCTTATCACCGCTGTCACATATAGTGATGCCGCATATCGGTTCCTGAACCTGGGAGAGCCGGTTCGAACCTCGGACCGGACCCAGGTTCTGGTCCGCGGTTCGGCTTTGGGGTGGACCGAACCTGAAATGAGGTCCAGGTGGAGCCACAATGCCCAAACCATACCTAAATATGGTAATTTTGAAGGGATCGAACCGGAACCTGACCGGAACCCAATGCCATTTCGGGTTCTTTGAGGTTCACGGTCCAAACATTTACCCAAACTGGACCTTGGGTCCAGTCCCAGGTCCGGAAATTTGGGCCAATAACCGGGCTGAGCCGGACCGCGGCATCACTAGTCGCATATCCTGTCGCCGGGGTCATCAGGATCTTCGGCGGATGATGAGATCAAGCAAGGGCACCAAGATATTTGAGTCCTCATCTTCTGAGCTTCTGCGGAATTTGACTTCTTGAATGTTATTAAGTCACAAGGCGGATTGTTTTCCGCTCGCATCCCACTTTGTATATGGATGAGCAGTGAGCAGCTCGGTGAGGGGAGTGAATCGAGCATTGGCGAGAAGTTATACTGCAGGCCTACTCCTTGATGTGCAGAACCTGAGTAGTAGAATGTATCCCTGCAGCCGATTTATTTGGCATAAGTACTCTCATATATCCATGGCGTGAAGACGGAGTAGCTATTTAGTCTGGACTTCATGCATTTCTTGTCTGACACAAGCCTCATCATTGCTCGTGAGAGAAGAGTGATAGCAGATGAGTTGTTACGGTGGCGGGTCCCAGTTGGCAAGCTTGGAGAGCGTTGATATGCACTGACACACAACAATCACCAAGGACCAAAAGGAATAAACCTAAACCCCGTGATATGGGTGAAGGTGGTCCGAGACAACTGAAGGGTATTTAATAGTTTGAGGGGGAAAGGAGGAGTAAGATGCCATAGGGTAGTCCGTAGGAAGACCTAGAAAAATAAAACAAAAACCTTGACGCCTGAAACAAACACTAAGGGACGCTCCGGAGTATTTATCTCCGGAAAGTCGCAAACAAAGTCGCAAACCACGGAACCGAGTGTAGGTCCGGGCTCACGGGAGTAGAAGGCGCTAGAAAGAGTTGCTCAATTTTGTTTCGCTATGTGAACCTCACCGGAACTAGTTAAATCGATGGCGGAGATATTTCTCTCGATGAGTCAGGCCTATTGGCAAAGCTAGGATCGGTTATAAGTCGCTAAGTTCGACGCTTTCGAACTTCTCGGGTTGCTGAGATCGTAACGTTAATTCTCTGAGATGGTGAAGTCAAAACTTGTTTTTCTGTACACTACTTTGTACAATTTATACTACAGGAATGGCTTTGCGACCGTCCGGAGATAAATAACAAATAAACGCCGCTACCCACAGGATTGCTCAGCACTTTCCTCTGCTATACCATACACCATACGACTCCCTTACGCTCCTACTTGCTCGTTCCAGCCCTTATAGGTCGCCTTGACGCTCCGCCACCTGACCCAGGCGGTCCCATCACTCCGTGCGACACGCCGGTCACGTGTTAATTACCTCCGGCCATTTGCTGACTGATGCTGACCTTATGGTGACTCGTATGCGTCCGCACCTTCGGTATCTTGACGGAAACGAGGGGGAGTGAGTGCTGGAGGGTGGGCATGAGGACGACGCCCCTCAATAGAAGTGTCCGCGGGTCCTGGAGCTAATGCAGCTAGAAGTTGCATTGGTTCAGTCACTCCGGAGCTTCGGTGCGCGGAGATAAATCACGGAATGGGTCCGTGTACGCCTCGAGGATGTTAGGAAGTCCGGAGCTAAGTAGAAAAAGTCTTTTAGAGCCCATAGAAGCCTAGAGGCGTGCGAGCACTGTGTCGAATAAGCTCCGGGGCACTTGTATGATGTGCTGAATCCGCGTTTTCGGGGGTCAGACGATCCTGGGGCTTATCAGCGTGCATCCAAGTTTCAAATCTCCACTGGCTTACAGTGGCACGACTCGCACCTCTTGATACCCAGTTGATACCACATCGACTTAGCGTACGTACGCACCTCTCCAGTCTTTGGCACATACTAGTTTCTTGCTCTAGGCAACCTCGACTACTCCATTGCCGATGCGGACTTAATCACTGGTCCTTTGCACCGTCTCTTCCCCAAATTACACCTGGAGACAATGGCTGGCAACATTCCATTGGACATTGGCGAGTGGTTTATCTGGGCATGGGTAATGCAAAGTTGCGAAAGCAGTCAAAAACCAAAGACTTACTCTGCAAATACAGTGATTCACCACCACTTGGGACACCACCACCAGATGGGACACTCCCTAGTGAAGTATCTCATTTCTACACTATCTATCATAGAACATTTTGTGAAGCATTATATACACATGCCCCATGTCCTCATCAAGTTTGAAGGGGACAGGTTGAGTACAAGAACGGCAATAAAATGTGCAAGCCATCGTGGTGGCGGGTTTGGACTCTCCAACTTTATCCGGCCCTTTGGTAGTGCTTATTTACTGATAGGGAGGTGCCTACCATGTCCCATCACATATACTATGGTCTAGCATACCTAATGATAATATCCAGAGAACTCACCATCACGGTCAGTAGACTGCACATCACCCATGGTGTCAAGCAAGTAACAGTATGTCCCATCGGGATTACCCGACACTACAGATTTGTTACTCGCGTACTAGGCGTGGGAGTGTCCCAAGTGGTCGTTTCTGCGCCATGTAGGCTGACCCATGTATCACACCTCGTATGTCATGACAACTGGCCCTCTCGACCTAATAAATTTATATGAGGGCCATAACATAGTGTTGAACATATGTACCAGCTTAGTTTGCATGGGAGGGTTGCAGAAAGGAGATTAAAAAGACAAATGTATGTGCTGTCCCAAGTGGTGGTGAATCACTGTATGTGGAAAACAGGGGCCCAGATAATTCCAAGGGACTATCCCGAGTCCAAACTGTAGGCATGCAGGTGGAACATAATGGATCTCACGGCGGGCAAAGCAGGTGTCCTTTTTCCGGACGGCAGGAAAAAGGACACTATGTCCTTTCACGGCGACCATCAGTGGGTCAGGAAGTAAATCTGTCACGATTGCGTCATGGTCGTGACAATGGGTCATGCAGTCTGCATTTATAATATGAAAAACCCTTGGACGCTCAGTTTTACAAAGCGAAGCATGCCATATGACCCGATAGGTGACTTTCCGTCCATATTCGGACCTTAGGCTCCCATCCGAGCCGTAACATCACACTTCGGCAGCTACCGTCTCGGACCTCCAGCAGCGTCTACTTAGGTGGCACTGGGCGGAGTACTGTACTTGCATGGTTTTTGTATCCATCAGCAAGCAAGGTGGAATGTACTCTCATATCTCCATGCTCAACACTGTAGAGCCTGCCAGAGTTGAAGTTTGTGAATATCAGATGAGATTTGAGACCTGGTAGCTACGAAGTTGCTTGCTATGCGATCTGGACGCACACCATGAATCGTCTCGGACGGTTCTCAAATACAATGGAACAGCAAGCCGAATAAGCGAGCCGCATACAGGCGTGCTTTGGTGATCTCGACTATACGATGCTGAGGCAGATATGTCGGAGCAGTACTAGTCGTTTGACCGGCAAAATCAAGGATGCATCGGCCATGAATAGTCCGCTGGCGAAGGCTTGCACATATCTCCTACCGGATGGCACCACTGCTGCAGTATCAGATGATGAGACGGACTTGTACTTGAAGTTGCTCAAGCAGACCCAGTAATGGGTGACTTGCTTGTAACAGTCACATTACTCTCGGAGTCTCGGGTGGGAGCCTAAGGTCCGAATATGGACGGAAAGTCACCTATCGGGTCATATGGCATGCTTTGCTTTGTAAAACTGAGCGTCCGAGGGTTTTTCATATTATAAATGCAGACTGCGTGACCCATTGTCACGACCATGACGCAATCGTGACAGATTTACTTCCTGACCCACTGATGGTCGCCGTGAAAGGACATAGTGTCCTTTTTCCTGCCGTCCGGAAAAAGGACACCTGCTTTGCCCGCCGTGTCTATTCAATATAATTTGGATAAGCTAGCGCATGCTCATATGAGAGACCTTAGCCGAGAGCAGACACTGTAAAACTCCTGGCACACATACTGTATGATATCTGAATTTCCCATTCGGACTGTTGCCCTCACGTCAGGCGATTCTCTTGCCACCGCAGCTGGCAGCCTAAGTGTTGCACCTGTAGTGTCCTCACCTCACATTAATCTACTTGCAACAGACTCGGCGTCCGAGTAAGAATCTGCCCCGACAGATCTAACGATGCATCCTAAATTTTGTAATGGAGAAATAGTATTTCACCTTTAGTACCATTAGAACTGGGAATATCGTAAATATGTCGGAGTTCAAGTCTAGTAGTATAACCACGATACCACAAACTCGGCCGGGATAAGCAGACTCTAAGATGTAAGATAGATAACAGGCAAGGACTAGAAGAGTGCAAACTTGAAGGCAGCTTCGATTTGACGGAGTGAATGAACTATCGACGACGTGTGGCTTCGATCTGTGGCTTTATTTGGGAAAGATCCGATTGCAAACAACCAATTGCAAAGTACGCGGCCTCTGCTTACATAACGCAATTTTCCCTCTGCATGCTCAGTTGGGCAGCCCGAAATATTGGCGGGGCTAGGCGCACAGCGAGAAGGTTATACGCAATTACTGCAGCACCGGACCATTACGATGGCAAGTTCAAGTCATGGTTTATGAGTTACACCGGGTAACACCAAAATAGTGTGTATCATAGGTGCAGGACATGCCGGCTGCGAGGCCGCCACAGGCGCTGCTCGGACAGGAGCAAGGACGCTTCTTTTGACCCAACGCCTGGACACAATCGGCGAACTGTCATGTAATCCATCCATAGGAGGCGTGGGGAAGGGTACCCTCGTCCGAGAGGTGGATGCCTTAGACGGCGTTATGGGGAGGGTAGCAGGTGAGATTCGGTGTGTTCAAGTCCCGGATGCCTGACATTTAGAACGCACTGTAGACAAAGCAGGGATACAGTTTCAAATTCTGAACAGGTCGAAAGGTCCCGCTGTCTGGGTAAGGAGTAAGAGGCTCACTTCCGACACGATGCTCATTCTTTTTCAGGGCCCTCGAGCTCAAATAGACAGGAAGTTATACAAGAAACATATGCAGGATACCATACTTCATTACCCTAACCTAGACGTCTGCGCTGGCAGCGTATTCGATCTTGTCTTCGGCGAGGGTGACCCAAATAACAGTCTATGGGGTAATATCAAGGGCGTAAAGCTCGGTATGAATCCTTCATGAAGCCTTGTCCAATAACATGAAATTGTATTCCTGACCGCCTTTGCAGATAGTGGGGAGGTCATAAATTGTTCCCAGGTTGTCATATGCACCGGAACTTTCCTCTCCGGCGAAATCCACCTTGGTTGGTCTTTTTGTGTTACCGTGGCACTGGTAGTTCATGCTTTGTCCCATCCCCAGGTCTGAAACGCTTTCCTGCGGGCCGTATGGGCGAATCCCCCTCCATTGGGCTCTCAGGATCCCTTCGTTCCGCAGGTTTCAAACTCGGACGTCTGCAAACGGGTACCCCGGCGCGCTTGGATAAAGGATCCATTGATTTCAGCAATATGATCCGGCAAGACGGTGACGCTTCACCCTTGCCGTTCAGCTACATGAACCGGACCGTGGATAATGCAGTGAGTCTTACAGGGTGAACACGTTTTCCCGTGAGACGCTGACGACGAGTTGCATAGGATAACCAAGTAGCCTGTTTTCAGACATTTACTACGCCGACTACACACCAGATCGTTAGGGATAATATGCATCTCAGCGTCCATATCCAAGAGACCAAGAAAGGTTGGTCCGTCGGCTCTGTCGTACTCGTCACGTTCTGACAGTGTCTCCAGGTCCGCGGTATTGTCCATCCCTAGAAGCTAAAATCATGCGATTTGGACATAAAGATCGCCACGTTGTCTGGCTTGAGCCCGAAGGTTACGAATCCGGTGGGTCCCTGCGGCTGCAGTCAACTTCCACCTTGCAATTGTTGCGTGAAACGCGTTGACACGTGGTCCATGCAGATTTGATCTACCCTAACGGATTATCGAACAGTCTCCCTGAGGATGTGCAAGAGCTCATGTACCGCTCCGTCCCTGGCTTGGAGAACGTGAAAATCGTGAAACCTGCATACGGTGTGGAGTATGACCACGTTGATCCGAGGGAGCTGGGACGTAAGTTTGTTTAGCCTCTCCCACCATTCTACCCATTCAAAGGTTTTCGTATTCATCAGCCACGCTGGAGACGAAACGGATTAAAGGCCTGTTCCTTGCGGGTCAGATTAACGGTAACGTTCTATCATCTCGATCCTACAGAGTTCCCGCTCACGAGATCATGCTCAGGCACGACAGGATACGAGGAAGCAGCCGCACAGGGTACACTGGCAGGGATCAACGCCGGTCTGGCTGCTCTCCAACGACCCCCGCTCGTCCTGACTCGCGCTGACGGCTACCTTGGTGTGATGGTCGACGACTTGATTGTCAAGGGCGCTGAGGAGCCTTGTACGTGCTTCTTATAATCGGGAAGTCAGACAGGACTGACGCTGCTGGGCAGATCGGATGTTTACCTCTAGGTCGGAGTATCGCATGACGATTCGGAGTGATAATGCTGATACTCGGCTTACTGAGAAAGGTACGTATATTTGGCCTGTGGGCCTGTAAAAGCTCACTTAATGAGCTTACCAACTTCTCCCAGCGAGGACCGTCGGCGTTATCTCAGATGCCCGCTGGGACCGGTTCAACCAAGTACGAGGGGATCTGGAACGCGTCGTGCAGAAGCTGAAGTCAGTCACTATGAGTCCTCATGTACGTCGCCCGCACACGTCGTCGCCTGGAACTCCTGCTGAGCTGATGCATTTCTAGAGTTGGGCAGCGTACGGAATTGAATCGAAGAGAGACGGCGTTTCTCGGAGGTGAGACCGAGGTGTGCTGCTTTCTCGTATTGCGGTGTACTGATGACCTGCAGCGCCTACGAGCTGCTGTCAAGCCCCCTGGTTGATACCAGGAAGCTCAAGGCGGTAATTCCGGAGCTGCAGGACGTGGACCCGGAAGTCCTTAGCCGCATCGATATCGACGGTAATCTTGTTGTTTCCTCTCTGTTGGATGGTGCATGCTCACACTATTGCGCAGGTTGCTACGGCCCCTTCCTCGCTCGCCAGGAAGCCGACCTACGGGCGTTCATGGAAGACGAGACGCTCGTGCTCGATCCGTGGATGGACTACAGTGGAATCGAGGGGCTGAGCTCGGAGGTGAAGGAGAGGCTCGCGAGGGTGCGGCCGACAAGTATCGTGGGTGGCCCATTATGATGCTTCTGTAGATGGTGTGTGCTGATGCGCGGTATGCAGGGCGCGGCGAAGAGGATGGAGGGGATGACACCGACGTCGGTGGTGGCGTTGCTAAAGTATGCGAAGAGGACGCATGGAAGAGCCGGACGTGGTTTGGACGGGCAGCAGTTGGCTGTCTGAGGTTGAGGTTGAGGTTGAGGTTGCTGCTGCATTTATCTTTGTCTAATATGTCCTGCTTTTCTACTGTAATACCTCAGTCGCAATGCTACTCACTGCTCGCCATTCGTCCTTTCAGTCAGAGTCAGGTTGAGCAGCCACGGGTCCGATGAGTCCCCCCGTGGACTCGCGCCACGTGGTGCAGGTCCGCGGATCCGATCCGACACTGAGTCGGACGGGTCAAATTGAAGTCCCCATTTCTCCCTGCCTCCTCCACCATCTCTGCGCACAACGCTCTAGGCAACAACTGTCCCTCGGGGCGACGTCCCGGTTCTTCTGTGCTACTTTAATTTGCCAACGAATATCTGACTAGTGCGTACGGGACTTACAATGGGCGCGTACTACGACGAGATCGAAATCGAGGACATGGCCTGGGACGAGGCGAAGGGCGTGTACCACTACCCGTGCCCGTGCGGGGACCGGTTCGAGATATCGCGCCAGCAGCTCAGGGACTATGAGGATATTGCGACGTGTCCGAGTTGCAGTCTTATCATACGAGTGATTTATGATCCGGTGCGTGCTCTTTTCCCTCCTCCCCTTCCTTAGTGCAGTGGGCTGATTCTTGGTGGTTGGGGATTTAGCTGGATTTTCAGGATGATGACGACGAGGATCAGGGGAGCGGGGAGGGGGAGGTGAAGGAGAGTGAGGAGAGCGGGAGTGAGAGTGGGGATGAGCAGTTCGAGGATGCGCTCGAGAAGCTCGAGATTTCGGAGGGTCCGCAGGTTATTGCTGCTGCTGCGTGAATGCGTACGCAACCCGAGAAGCAGGGAGGGTTGATTGTGGTGCAACAAATGTATGTCACAATTGTATCGATATGTCTGTTCGTCTGGTTTAATTTTTGGAATGTTATAATGCTCGTTCAGTCTCGAAGCACTTCCCCAAATGCATGAGCCTGCAGAGCACTCGATGTCTGCTAGAGGTCTTGCAAGCTTGCGCGGCAAGCGCCGCGTCTTGGTCGGCGTCGCGGAGGAAGGACCTCCTGGTATCGCTACTCATATCGAGTTCCGTCCAGGACGCTGAAACCCGGAAGCCGGCTTCCGATGCGCATCACTCCTTCATTTATAAGTGGACAGAAGGGTGCGGGCCAATTGCCTTGCCGAAAGGGATTGCTGTCGGGTTGGGTTGTGGCTTTGAAGAGACTGGACGTTATCATCTCGAGTCATCGTGGAGGAACATACAGATGATGGCAGGTATCCAATATTTCGTGCAATACCCTTACTCTTGTACATGTCGAGTGTAACAAGAGTCGAGTCATGCAGCATCCCCGAGGTCGGCCTTACGTGCCTGGCGCCGCGTCGGGCATGATGATATATGGAAGTAGCGCTTCCAGTTCGCCATTGGACCCGATGCGCTTCCCGCTATGCCCTAGAAGAGTTGATCGCCGCCGTGTGAGACTGAGCGCTACATAGTTCAATGAACGACCTTGCGTAACAGAGCAGCACTTAGGAGGCTGGTCTGCAGTGCACAAGCCGCTGTAAACGAGGGCTGCTTCTTCGTCGCGGTGGAGGTCGAGGTATACAAAAGGTAACTCCCAGGCTGGAGACGAATATGGCGCTTGTATTCAGGGGCAAAGCAAACGCTCTTTATAGCAGCCTCCCAGGCTGACACGCGTTGTACGTAGCAACCTGAACGCGGGGAAGACGAAGAATTCGATATCAAACTTGCCTTTGGACCACTATCATCTCGCTCACTGCGCTCAGCAGCATATACCAGCCTCTCGAGCTCTGTCGCTGGCGCACCACGCTCATTATTTTCTGAAACAATTCCGTCTCAGACGTTCATTTACGGAGGCCCCTATATTCGGCGCCGTAGAACGTGCGCCCAACGCGGATCGAACTCCCACACGGAAGCATAACGTACAGTGCTAGCCCGAAATAGGACAAGGTACGTGACCGTTCGATTTAGCGGTGGTTGATGCGCGGCGGGCCCTTCGTCCTCTTCCCGGGCGTCCCTCCTGCCTCAGGCTTGCCTCGTTGTCGCTTTCTTGCTGCCCCTTCGCAAGGGCACGAGGCCGTCGTTCAGTACACACGAGGCAGCAGCGCCCCTCTGCTGAGTATCCGGTGTGCCTAGGACAAGCCGTCGGCCGAGCGTGTTTATCGCGCGCAGAGGACCATCCACAAAAAAGACATATCAGTAACGCGTGCTACGTCTTATCTGAGGACTTGGACTTGGACTCTTAACTTACGTTGAATCTGTCGTTTGTGCATGACTGATGTCACGACAGCACCATAATCCACCCACCGACCCGCCCTCGTCGTCCCAGGGCGACTCCCCGACCGATCGGCGGCCAGGGGGTGAAACAAACACGTCGGGCGAAGGAGACTCGCCTAGGGACGCGTCTTCCAAACCGACCCCCATTTCGCGGGAAGCGACCAATAGCACATCCGAGCGGGAGGAGGGCTACCCCTCCTGGCTGCCCAAGCGCCCCCCGCCCCCAGCTCCCGCCTCCACCTTCACGTCGGTCGGGATGCCTACACCGGTGAGCGAGTACCCCGGCCGCGGCGCGACCCCCGACCCCTTCGCCTACGTAGGTGGGCGCAAGGCGACCCCACGCTCCGTGCGGATTATCAGTATGGCCTCCCAGGCTGAGAAGGATCCCTACGCCCGTCGCGAGCCGACGGACCAGACGAGGGTGAGCGGCGCCCACCAGCACGCGCGGGTCTGGTCGCGCGCGACCTCTGGCGGCTTGTCCACCACGCTCTTCTCCGCTGGCAGCCCTTTCCCCCTGCATGTGCCCCGGCCTCGGTTCCGGGCGAATGGTCTCCATCTAGAGCTCCTGCGAAACCCTTCCTGGCGATCCCGTCTCCATTTTTATCTTTGGCCGTTCTTCATCTTCTACGACATCCCTTTGCAAACGTTTTTCGACTTCAATGCTGTATTTATATTGATTCAGTGAGTGTTCCGCGGTGCGGGACCCCCTGTGTGCTGACCCTGCACTCTAGAGTTGCTAAGTTTCCGGATCCCCTTGCTCCCGGAGTTCCTGGTTCAGGACGGAATTGGGCCCTAGGCGTGGCCGCCTACATTGCATGCTGGTTTGCATGGATCTTCTTTGTATTTCTAATTTATCAGCTCATATACTCCTTTTACCGACGGTGGCGAGTTAGTGAGTGCATCTTGGCTAGTATAACGGAATCGCAATTAACCTCTTCCTTAGAACGCCCCCTAATGCTTCCGTTATACATGTCCTCACCCGCATTCAACTTCGTCTGTATGACCTCTTACAGTAATTTCTCCTTCTTCCAGCACCTCCGTTCTAGCGCTTTCAAGGAAGAGTCGAACGGCTCGCTCCGGGACGGCCTCGCGGAGACATTCTACTACTACTCACAAAATCTGCCCACCGTCGCCCTGCTCCTGCCGCGTGCCGGCCTTTCTTTAGCTCTTCTGCTGACGTTTTGGACTCCAAACCCCGACTATGCAGCGCTCGGCACGAGTCCGCGGGACGGGACCTTTTTCGATCCTGACGGGACGTTGACAGGATACGCCAAGGGCGTCCTGATCGCGAATGCTGCCTGGACAGCGTGGAGAGTCCTCGTATTGATGACTAGTTGGTGAGTTCCTGATCTGCTTGGGGAGCTATAATTGGTTCTTGATGCTGATATGCTGTGTCGTAGGCTCGGCCTTTGGGCACTCAGCGGCCAGCTGTTCGCGGGGCTCTGCGGGCCGCGGTACCGCTGGGAGGAGGACGACGCGGAGAAGACGATGTCGGTGATCAGCGACGGCGCGTCGGACGGCGACGCGCTGCCGTGGAGCTGGCGCGAGTGCACGCGGCTGCGCGTGCAGGAGGCGTACGAGTTCTGCCTGACGACGCGCCCGCCGCGCCGTGCGGTGCACGGGGGCGAGAAGAAGGAGGTGTCGGACGTGACTGTGCCCGAGTCAGCGCGGTATGAGGGCATGGAGCAGATTATGGCGGCGATTGGCCTCCCGACGGGCGGGGCGCAGCCGTACCCGCCGAAGAGGGGCGTGCTGTCGCAGGATCTATTTGAGAGCCCGCAGGAGGTGGTAGCGGAGAAGGGGCGGGAGGAGGTGGGACAGGAGGAAGAGGAGCCGGTGCCTGTACCTGCGCCGAGTGTGGGCAAGGGGAAGGGGCGGGCGGTGTTTCCAGGCGATGAGGCGCCGTTTGCGAAGGTGCCGTATGCGTTTACGGGGCATAAGGCGCAGATATCGTCGACTTCGGTCCCGCATGATATTCCGTTCCCGCCGTCGCCTGTTCCTCCGGAAGAGAAGTCGGAGACGGAAGAGCATACCGAGGAGGAAGAGGAAGAGGAGGAAGAAGGAGAAGAAGGAGAAGGGGAGGCGGAAGAGAGCCGCGTGGAGAGCGAGCAGACGTCTTCGCCGCGAGCAAGAAGTTCGGCGTCCATGTCGAGTCTTGGCCGGCCGGTCAACTCGAGATATCCCTTCCAGTTCCGCCGGCCTACGAGAGGGCACAGTATCTCTACTGCATCGCACAGCACTCCCCACACTCGCTCGACGAACTCGCGGTCCACTCCGTCGACCGACAATTCGAACTCCAGACACTCACGGGCGACGCAGTCTACTGGGAACAGGTCGTCGACGGATGATAACTCACCTCGTTCGTATCTCGGTAGCTCTCCCAGCGTCAGCGGGATTCCTCGACCTCCACGAAATCCTGCTGCTGGGCGCAGACGAGCAGGGACTGTCCCTTCGCTGCCCTCCTCTCCTTCGCCTGTGGTATTTTCCGAACTGGCTGGCGGTCCTCGCGGATCGAGATTCAGGACGGAAAGTGACGATACCGCTGCATCGCCGTCGTTCATCCAGGATCCTCCGTATGTTATGTCGGAGGCGTACGAGACCGGCAGCGAAGACGAGTCACCCGAGTCCAGTGGCATGATGGAGCAGCCTGAGGCTGAGGGCAGCCAGGAGGCGGCTGAGATAGGGGACAGCGTGGCGCTGCTGACGAGCGACGCCGGTCCGACGTTGAGCCCCCGAGCGTCGCTGGCGCATATACGAAGCCATGGCAGTGGTGTCTCTCTCGGCCGGAGACGCAATGGGTCGAGGAGCGGGAGCGGTAGTCGGAGCAGGACGAACTCGTCCCACGCATCTGCTAGGAGTCGTGCGCATAGCTTGATACAGAGTATCAGCGCCGCCAGCCGCAGCTCGCTAGAGTTGGTCTCCAGTGGGCTGCGGAGTCGGACGAGTTCCATGGCAAGGCTGGAAGATAGCCCCGGGTCGTCGGATAGGAGTCGCAGCGTGAGCGATGCGGTCCGTTCAGAGATGAGCGGGAGTGGAAGCGGCAGTGCGAGCGATGCGCTGAGCAGTCCTGAAAACCATACGTTCGGGCATCCTCTAAGAGAACATTGGAGAGAGACCGAAGGCGACGACTCGCGTCTGGAGGAAGAGGAGGAGGAAGATCTCACGGGGACTTCGATCTTTGAGACGCCGGCGGCATCGACGCCGCCAGAATTGGGACCGCGGCTAAGGGGATCACCATCGGCGTCCAGCGCAGTGCCCAGCTCACGAATATCGGAGAGGACGGTGCACCTTGACCCTCCTGGCCAAGCAATCCCTGGTGCGCGTCCTGGCACGACGAGGCCTCGTGTGCGCAGCGCGACTCAGCCGAGTAGGGAAAGTGAGAGCCCACCGGATATCAGCACTGCTGCGCCTTCCTTCATCACTGCTCCCCCAAGCATGTCAAGGACGTCGGAGTCGACCATGCAGGTCTCCAGGACGCCCGAAAGCCAGTGGGCCGGACATGTTGACCACTTCTTGGGTGCTGAAGGTAGGAGAGAGTACTGGGGTCCCAATTGAGCAACGGCCAGGTTCTTCTTTCAGATGGACAATGAGTTTTCTGCATTTTTTATTCGACCGCCATCCACATTGTTATTTTATTGCACATCGCCTATCTTCATTCAACCACCATCCTCCTGCCGTCCCCCGCCACATACTTCCCGTTTCCCCTCTCCGCTCCTAATCCTTGTTTGTTGTAAACCCGCTTCCTTGTCATCTCCCTAACGTCGCGCTAACACCTTCATCACTTAACGAGCTACCTAATGACTGATCGCAGTGCTTTTCTTTTACCAGTCGTCAGTAATCAGACATAGAATTTTGATGGAGTTTTCAGACTGCTTGCCGCAACGCCTGAGGCCCTGAGCTCGCTGTGAATGGATGACAAAATTAGCACATGCCGGTTTCAAATGTCTCGACGCTGTACACTCTCCCTCTTCCCTCCCTCCGTTTGGCCCGTTACATACTGGTCACGTCCGTAGCGGTGAAAGCTCACTTAAGTAGCCGGACGACGTTCAGATCGGACCCAGTCTGCCCCGAGAAATCTACGTATGACGCCTGCAGCGGTGCTCCGGGAACGATAAACGAAACTCGCATGTCTTGTGTGTAATGAGCAAGTCGCGTTGCAAACCATTCGATTTAGGGCTATCTACTACCGTGTTCAACGATGGCGGCGGCAGCACCCAGTACTTCTCAGAAGCCTTTGCCCGCTATTCCTCTTCGACGAAGCACACGACCGCTCACGACGCTGACTGTGAGCTCGGGCTCGCATCTCCGGAAGTTCTTGCACTATGCACTGAAAGAGGATGCTCACCTTCAGCAATATGAGGAGGCGGAGACAAGAAGGGAACTCTGGGTGAGTACCATCATGGGAGCGCTCGAAGATCTGGGAGAACGCATGGACCGAGGAGGATGGCTTGCGGGCATAAGGAGAGCTTGGAAGGCTAGACGGACACGCCAGGCTGCGCAGAAGAAGGAGAAAGAGAAGTCAGAAGCTGAGGAAAAGGAGTCGAAGGACGGAGATGACAAAGCCCAGGACAAGAACAGAAGTTCCCGCAAGCAGAGCAAGGGGACGGAGAAGGAACTCCCTGGGACACCCGAGCCATCCACCTCCTCGCATACGCAGGACGGGCCCAGCGAGGATGAACGGCGGGGTCGCGCACTTAAGCAGCTGCAGGAGCTCGCGACGCAGCCTATCCTCCCTAGACCTAAGCCCTCCGGGAAGCATCTCCTCCTGACTCTTGTACCCTTCGGAGTACGTGCTGCCCTCCCTACGGAGGATATGGGGTTCGACCTGGTGCCCTCCAACATCGGATGCATATTCTCAGCGGACGTGTTTACCTTACCGTCAGCTGAAAGTGCAACAGACACGAATTCTGGACAAGTCCTTTATGGACTGGAAGAATGGGATGGTCTGTTTGCGTCCATATTGCCTTTCACTAACGCTGATTATACTCACAGTCGAGGCATATAATCCTGGCGAAGACCAGCTGCGTTTAGTGGGAGGGACGTTCTCATTCAAAGGCGTGACTTCGCCACAGGAATATGCCTCACTACGCCGCATCCTCCGCTTGGCTCTGTTCATATATATATCTGTGATACTCGAACAGCATGCACTCGCCGATTCTTATATCCGACTACAATTCCCCAAGCCTCATCTTACTTCCCCTACCATCCCGGCACCCGCGACAGGAGGAACGCAAGTTACTCGCCAGCCTACCCTTCCCAGTGTCCCTAAACGCGGGCATAGGTATCGTGAATCCCTACCGAACACCGCTTCAGGTATTTGGTCATTCGTTTCCAAGAAGACCGAGAACCTGCTGTCTCGAGCTAGTAGCGTCAGACCCCATCTGAATCTTGTCCGCCATGGGTCTTTAGATCTCCCGACAACTGCGTCTGAGGGAGAGCAGCTTCCACCAACGTCTCTCGACGCTCATCCGGTGACCCGTCTCCGGAAGTTCTCGTTCTTCGGGGAGGACAGGGCCTCTGCGCCTCCTAAATTGCAGGAGCCCCACCGCGAGAGTTTATTTACTACGACCCTGGAACAGCTGAAACTCGTTCGTGAACTGCTGACAACATCTCCCGGTATTCCACTTCCACCACCTCATCTCCTCGTGATTCTGGCGGAGAAGGAAAAACAGGACCGCGGCAGGCGACTAACAGGCGAGGAAAGGGCGGGTCTGAACAGCCTTTTGCTTTGGGAAGGGAAGGATCCTAATGGCAAGGGTCCCAAGGTACTCAGCGGGCTTAGCTTGTTCGTACGACATCAGGACTTCTCGACGTTATACTCCGAGCACGTGCCATCTATTGTCCCTCTCCCGGACAGTCGTGCATCCTCCAGCTCCTCTCAACTGTCGCCTCCGCCGTCCGCGTCGTCCCGTAAGTCTTCACCTTCGTCCGGGCTCCCGCCACCACCACATTTTTCCCAGTGCAGTGGAAGGCATTGGATGATGTATGTGTACAACAACTGGGACTCTGCATCAATGGGGGATAGGAGGCTTGGTGAGACTATTGAAGAGTTGGTCTCGTCCGCCGATGAGATGTGCCTGAAACCTGGCTGCATATTCAAGAAAGGTGACCATGAAAGGCGATGGATACATAACGGGACACGGGTTAGAGTCAAGGTAGACGCTGATGACTCCGATCCGGACCGCAAGGATCCACCCGAGGAAGATGTCGGCATGTGGCTGAGCTGTGCTTTGTGCGGCAGGAGGACTGGGAAGGTCCGGATGAGCGATGGAACATAGTAAGTTCGTGTTATTCACCTTCGGAAGTGTGCTCGGAATCCTAATCTTCTCTCGATGCTTGGACATAGCCTCCTGTCATTCGCCAAATTCCTAGAACTTCTGGTATATAGTCCCCTGATCTGCTCACCCTCTCCTCAAATTTGCGAGCACACGACATCGCCGACTATATCAGAGAGTCTCCCGGAGTCCCGGCTGAACATTGTCAGACACTTCTCGTACAGGTCTCATGTTGTCTCATTCTCGTTATCTCTCATTGAGGAGATATACGAGGTTAGACTGCCCCGGCTTCAGATTATAAAGGGCCATGGTGAAAAGGATGATCGACGATCCATCGAGCCGACGCGGCAAGGCAGTCTTGACGAGGAAAAGAAGACATTAAGGAAGGAGATCAAAGGATGGTGGCAGGATGTGTCCGATCACATGGATAAACTGGTGAGTAGGAGTCGCAGGTGAACGTAAGGTCCTAACCATCAATTATGTCTGGAATAGGAAGAGGCTTTCAGTGAAGGTGACAATACACTCTCACATAAGAGTCTGCCCAGGCTTCCGTCAGTAGACGATGCTTATGACAACGACTCGCTGGACTCGACGCCGAAAGCTAAGCAACTACCACTGCCGGCGCTGCCTTCCAGTTACTCCCATTCTTCACCTATTCGCAATTCCGATGGCTCCGCGAGCGATACCAACCTCGCAGTACCTCGACCACCCTTCCTTCGCTCTAAGACGTCAATCTCTGCCATACGTCAAGCACACCATGCTCAGCAAGAGAGCGATGCAGATTGCGTACAGAAGCTTTCTAATCTTCGCCATACATTCCAAGAAGCGGAACAGTCCCTGTATGCCGAGCTGTTGCAGACCCCTACATCGTCATTAAATGATGTTCGGAGATCATTCCATTCAGCTGCTCGTGGTGCTGCACGTAGGTTAGCAGCTTGGGAAAGGAAGTACCAGGTGAGCACCGTCGAGGGTGAGCCCGCCGCGGAGAAGTTGTCTACCAACGAACCCGAGTGGTGGGCAACGGATTGTCATGCTGTTCCGGGCGGTAAGGTTATTGTCCGCGAGAACGACTGGGGTAGTATCATAGCATTCACTCTGAGGTAAGCTGTTCACGTTTAAGCAATCGGCACTTGCCTGAAGCTGGTTTAGCTCTATCGATTACAAACGAGAATTAGCCAACCTATCTGTTAGCAAGTCGCCCTCTGGATCCCATGACTCACCACAACCTACCCCTCAATCTCATGCTTCTTCATCTGGCTCTTCATTCTTCTCGTCGAGCGGTTACGGGTTCTTTAAGTCGTCCTCGAATCTCCAACCTGATCCGGATGATGAAGGTGCAGTCTGGCACGAACCTGAATCACATACGGCCACCATCACTCGCAAAGAACATCCTCGAGATCCAGCGGGGATATTGGCGTTGCCGTCTGTGCTTCGACATAAGCCTGCGGATGTTGCAACTTTGTCTCCGTCACGGTTGACCAACCTCGTCATCCAGGCGCGGTCCGCTAGCAGTAGCGAACGGACCCCGCCTTCTGCCTACGCTAGACCTGATGTCCAGCTGAACACGCAAGCGGTTGACGGGGAAGTGAGTGGTCTGCCTGAGGCTGCTCAAGTGGTGGGTAAGATATTGCACGACGCCGATACTGCAGCTGCGGAATCCCCGACTCGTTCACTATCGGACAGCGTAAATTCCAAATCATCAAGCTTCGTTCAGACCCATATTCGCAGAGCCGAGGCAGCGTCCTTGGAATCCAACGGTAGCGATTCCACCGTTGGTCCGGAAGATCACAGCGGACGGGAACATGCTCTTGTTCCTCCGCCTCCGCCTCCTAAGGATACCCCAGACGCTAAGACAACTTCTCGGATTTCGTCTCCTTCTGCCGACTCCGGGAATGCACCTGCAACTGCTACATCCCCAAAGCCCGGATCAAGTTCCTTCCTTACCTCAACGCTGACGTCGGGTCTCGCGAGTGCTATGCGACTTGTCCTAAATTCTTCCGACACGATCAAGCCGTCGCAATCTGCAGCTTCGCAGAAGACACACCATGCGTTGCTCCATATTGACTCGCTACCGATTGATGAGCGTCCGCATATCAAGTACGACTGGACGATCGGCAGCCGTCTGAAGTTCAGTTGTACGGTATACTATGCGAGGCAATTCGACGGCCTGCGTAAGCGGTGCGGAGTCGAGGACATCTTCCTCAAGAGCCTGGAGCGGAGCGCCAATTGGGCGGCGGAAGGTGGGAAGAGTAAATCGAATTTTTGGAAGACGAAGGACGACAGGTTCATCATCAAGACGCTTGTCAACGCGTGGAATGTCGCAGATTTGTACGTGCATGTATAAGCTTTGCTGACCGATGATTTACACTTTATCTCCCGTTAGGCAAGTTCTTATAGAACTGGCCCCGTCCTACTTCCGATACATGGACTCGACTGCGACGAAACCTACGGCTTTGGCTAAGCTGTTGGGCTTCTACACTGTAGAGGTTCGGAACCTTGAGAACGGGACTACGCAGGCAAAGGCGGATCTCCTGGTTATGGAGAATCTCTTCTATGATCAGGACATCTCCAAGACATTTGATCTGAAAGGGATACATGGGAGAAAGGTCAAACCGAGCAGCAATAGCTCAGGCTCTCATTCGTCCAAGACCCTGTTCGACGGGGAATGGATTGAAGGTGAGTGCAATTGCAAGTTTCATGGATAAGTTGGCTTATCATCTCTCCGACAGGACAACAGCGGGCCCTGATTCTCCTGCGTCCATATTCCAAGGTCATCCTACAGGAAGCTATCAGGAACGACTCAGATTTCCTGTCGAAGAGTAGTATTATGGATTACTCGTGGGTGCTATCAGAATCCTGTCGCTCCCCCAAATTCTGACTTCAAGCTGCCCCCAGGCTTCTGCTTGGTTTGGATGAGGGCCGGAAGCAGATCGTATGTGGCCTTGTAGACATGATCGGTACATACCGTGGGCAGTCGCTTGCTATTGCTGTTATTGACACTTTTAACAGGCAGCTATACTTTCGCAAAGACACTCGAGTACAAGGTCAAGCAAGGTTTGAATCCATCAGGAAAGGAAGTTACTGTCATGCCTCCCAACGAGTATCAGGAGAGGTTCGTGAACGCTATGGATAGCTACTTCTTGGCATGTCCAGGTATGTGCAGGATCCTCGCCGGATCCTCGGCCGCTTATGGCAGCCTTTGACCCTCTATGTGAATATAGATAAGTGGTCCCGACCGTGGGATGAAGCTAAGACGAAGCTGCCGACGGATGTGGGGGACTTGCGATGCCCTTTGTAAGGTGGAGACTATGGAATCTCTCTTGCATGCCAATCAACTGCCTATACCTCACCGTTATGCTTATGGTTGAACACTGCGCATTCTCAATTGTAACTATAGACTCGCATGTAACGACAGCATATATGTAGTGTAAAGCATCGAATCGAACGCACGTCCAGTGGCAGTGCGATCTGCCGTGGTTACGGCATCTACCGACACCTTTCTTCTGCCTTAGAATAATATCTGTGGCTTCATCATGTTCCGCAATGTTGCGTACTCAACCTAGTTCGCATCGCCTTTAAGGATCCCTCTTGCCTTCTCCGGTAAGCTCTGGCGTATTGCTCTGCTCAGACCTTGTCGTAAATGAATGCACGACACTGCGTCAGAATCCGGGCATCAAAGATGCAGAGGCGTTTTGCCAGGTCACCTCAATCAAGGGACACGCAGCTTCATTTGAATGAATTCCAGAGTTGCTATCAGACTGAAGATTTAATGAAGACTTGGTACACGCAACCGAGCGGACGGTTAAGCGAAGTGTTTTTTAGACTTCTCCGAATGATGATACGCGCCGTATCAGCGGGCTTACGGTGAGGATACCGCCAATGTATATTGCTGCGAAGACGGTTTCGAGATTGTACGTGACGCGACAAATACAAAGAGCAGCCACCCTCGTCATGCTTCTACGGTATTGGAGCACTGCCTGGAATATTGCGGGACTACTGACCGCCCATGGGGTATACCGTGACGAACCTGTACGTGGCTGGATTTCCTGTTACTTTTATGCCACACCCTACATGTGCTTGGGCGTTTATTTTCCCGGCATCTGGCTATTCAGCGGAATGTATCTGCTTGGTGGAACGCTTTGCTTTCACATCTTATCGCTAACGCCACGTTACTTGTTTACCTGTGAAGAAGGCTTCTTGAGCTCGGCGGGATACAGTTGAATGCGCGTCCAATGACACTGTGCTTCTCTTCCCTATCTCTCTGGGCGTCCTAGGCCCTTGGTCACACCGTCCCATTGGTGGTCTATATTTTGCGCTGGTGACCACACCCAAGCCTCTGAGAACGCGAGGCTATTCTCCCAATGACCTTTGTTACTCAGCTTTATCTTTGGGACGCGCCCGTCTCATGATCTATCCAGAGTTACTTTCGGGGTTATGGTATGTGCCTCGAATTGTCTGCTGTATGTTCTTTGAGCTAGCTCGAACTCCGAGGCGAAGGACGGACTTCCGCTAACCCACCTTCGTTAGCCAAGCGGGCCTTCTTCTTGTGAGGAAAGTGCCCAACGTGGTAGCCATACGCGTCTCAGAATCACTCGGACTATGTCCGCCATTGTGGGCCTGCGACTGGGTTTGTAAGTTCTGCAGGCTACGTCCACGCTGTCTTCAACGACTTCGGCTGGAGTACGCAACTGTAGCCGAGCGAGTGTAGTCGCTGACCGTCATGTGAGTGCCAGTGCATTCTCTTCCGCATTCCTTCCTCTCAGGCAAAGCTGGAGACGTAGGGCAATGTGACCCGGGCTACGCTGACCTCCCTTCGCATCCCTGATCGGCCCTTATGACCAGCGCAACGGCATTGTTCTATGATCTCTCGGCTTCGCGATAGCGAATAAGGCTCTAGGCTGAGGCTTCCTCCTTTACCGTATGCAGCGCGCACGGGACGAGGAATCGGACGGCACTCGCAGAAATAGACGTTGACTTGATCGTGTTTATGCACAGCATTACCCCGCAGTACTCAAATACCCCGCATTCTTAGCCTCGGCAAAGGCCGAAGCATCCTGCAGCCAATGACATCGCTCAAAGCGCTGTAAGATTAGGTCCTACGTGCGTCTTGTGGACAACCTCCTGCCTCTATACAATCAGCGAAAGCACCGGTGTGATTACGTTCAGGATGATGAAGATTACCGTCACTCCATTATGGATTGGTGCTCTGAAGGCTACGTGGGACGGTAACTGCGCTGCTTTACGATCATCTTGTCTTCACGAGATGATCGCGAAGTTACAGCTCCTTGGGTTGCGTTCCCTAGTCTTTTGGGAAATGGAGCTAAGAGCCGACATGCCCTCCATAAACGTGACCGATTTGCTTTTGGTGGGATCCTCTCTCTCCCCCAGCTGGGCTCTCATATGACCTGTTTCATTCTTGCGATTACACATAGCGCCAGTCACTTGGACTCGAATAGATCAACTTCTGCGGTCCGAACTGTTGCGCGAACAGCCCTGATCTCTTCACACCTGTAAAGACATTCTCCCGCTGACCGTCCCATCGAATATAAAAAGCCTTTATGAATTGAGCGGGGGGTTCCTCATCTGGAGTCTCATCTCCTAGAACCCCTTCATTCATCAATCCCCTGACAGTCGACCAACATGGTTCATCCCGAGGAAGTCGACGTTATTGTCTGCGGGTACGCTCAGCTCCTACATCTGCCGTTTGTCTTCCATCATTGACGTTTTGCCATATAGTGGTGGTCCAGCAGGTATGAGGCATTCCGTTGTCTCACTTGTATTCCCGCCAATGTGCTTTGCGCATAGGATGCGTCGTAGCTGGCCGCTTGGCGTACGCCGACCCCAACCTCAAGGTTATGCTCATTGAGGGTAAGCAACGTTTACTATGCCTGACTGTCTGAGCTGACCGCATGCCGAAGGCGGTGCCAACAACCGGGATGACCCATGGGTCTACAGGCCTGGTATCTATGTCCGTAATATGCAGCGTGATGGCGTGTGAGTTGAAATCATGTCCTGTTGTATCGCGAGGCATTGACAACGTTCCAGCAACGACAAGGCGACATTCTACACCGACACAATGAAGAGCTCCCATCTTCGCGGCAGACAAGCCATCGTTCCGTACGTCTAGTCTACCCACCCTTCCCGATCCTTTATCGAGCGCTTGCGTTTCAGCTGTGCCAACATCCTTGGGGGTGGTAGCAGGTAAGCAGGATACAGATTATACGCCTATACAGATACTCATTCTCCCGGTAGTATCAACTTCCAGGTATGCAGTTGTCAATAGTGTGGATTGGAGTCGACTAACAGCATGAACCCTTTAGATGTACACTAGGGTAAGTGAAACTTCAGTTCAGAAGCGAAGATGAGACTGATCCTCCATCAGGCGTCTGCCTCAGATTGGGGTAAGAGAGTAGATGGTTATTTCAATTCCTGGCTGATCGTCATTGTTGATGTAGACGATTTCAAGACCGAGGGCTGGACTTGCCAAGGTGGGTTTGGCTTCTATGGCTACATGCTCTTTTCATTAATGTTCCCTCTTCTTTAGATCTGCTGCCGTTGATGAAGCGTCTCGAGAACTACCAGAAGCCCGTGAACAACGACACGTGAGGTAGCCTATTCTCGTCGACTACCCTTTCATTGACGCGACTCCATAGCCACGGATACGATGGACCTATAGCCATTTCCAACGGCGGGCAGATCACTCGTAAGTGCACCTCTGTCTACGTTTGTGTATGCAATTGTCCTAACAATTCCTCTTAGCTCTGGCTCAAGATTTCCTGCGTGCCGCCCATTCCATCGGTGTGCCGTATAGCGGTAAGTAGGTGTTATCTGGACGGAGGACGAGGCTGACTGAGAACGACCTTCCATCAGATGACATTCAGGGTGAGCTGGCCGCTTCTGCTACGTTACATTCCGCCTCATGGTCCCGCAGATCTGACCACCGCTCATGGCGCCGAGATCTGGGCCAAGTACATCAACCGGCACACGGGCAGGCGCAGCGACGCCGCGACGGCGTACGTGCACAGCGTCATGGACGTCCAGACGAACCTGTACCTGCGCACGAACGCACGTGTGTCGCGCGTCATCTTCGAGGGCAACAAAGCTGTTGGCGTTGCGTACGTGCCGTCCCGCAACCGCGCCCACGGCGGCGCTGTCCTGGAGACGATCGTGAAGGCGCGCAAGTGCGTCGTACTGAGCTCGGGGACGCTCGGCACCCCGCAGATTCTGGAGAGGTCTGGTGTCGGTAACGGCGAGCTGCTGAAGAAGCTCGATATCAAGGTCGTCAGCGATCTCCCGGGTGTTGGGTGAGTACAAGTGAATCATTTGAGCCGTGCATGAGCTGATGCCCGGCGCATATAGTGAGCAGTACCAGGACCACTACACAACCTTGTCGAGTGAGCAGCGAGATCATGCGTGGTGTACTCATCGTGCTGACGGCTCTGCAGTCTACCGTGTTTCCAACGATTCCATCACCACGGACGACTTCCTGCGGGGCGTCAAGGAGGTGCAGCGCGAGCTCTTCCAGGAGTGGGAGACGAGCCCCGAGAAGGCTCGGCTGTCGTCCAACGTCATCGACGCCGGCTGGAAGGTGAGCATTCCTCGCTGTCCGTTTCTTACCTGCGACCAACATGCACCACAAAGCTCCGCCCGACGGAAGAGGAGCTGAAGGAGATGGGCCCCGAGTTCAACGAGCTGTGGGACCGGTACTTCAAGGACAAGCCCGACAAGCCGGTGATGTTCGGCTCGATCGTCGCGGGCGCGTACGCGGACCACACGCTGCTCCCGCCGGGCAAGTACATGACGATGTTCCAGTACCTCGAGTACCCCGCGTCGCGCGGCAAGATCCACATCCAGTCGACCAACCCGTACAAGGAGCCCTTCTTCGACTCGGGCTTTATGAACAACAAGGCGGACTTTGCGCCGATCCGGTGGAGCTACAAGAAGACGAGGGAGGTGGCGCGGCGGATGGACGCGTTCCGCGGCGAGCTGACCTCGCACCACCCGCACTTCCACCCGGCGAGCGCGGCGGCGACGCGGGATATCGATATCAAGACGGCGAAGGAGATCTACCCGGACGGGTTGACGGTCGGGATACACATGGGGACGTGGCACCGCCCGAGCGAGCCGTTCGACGCGAGCAAGGTGCACGAGGACATCAAGTACACGGAGGAGGACGACAAGGCGATCGACGACTGGGTCGCGGACCACGTCGAGACGACGTGGCACAGCCTCGGGACGTGCGGTGCGTGCCTCGTTCCTCCGTCCCCCGAGAAAGATAGCTGAACGGCAGACTTGCAGCGATGAAGCCGCGCGAGCAGGGCGGCGTGGTGGACAAGCGGCTGAACGTGTACGGCACGGAGCACCTCAAGTGCGTCGACCTGTCGATCTGCCCGGACAACCTCGGCACGAACACGTACTCGTCGGCGCTGCTCGTCGGCGAGAAGGGCGCGGACCTGCTGTGCGAGGAGCTCGGTGCGTCGCGTGTTTCCTTCTGCTCCCTCTTCCTCTCGTTTCCTCTCGTCTTTTTGTCTTTCTCAGTTATCGTTTCTCTTTCTCCATTATCGTTTTTTCTCTTTCTCAGTTATCATTTTCCCTCTCTCCGTTATCGTTCTTTCCCCCCTTCTTTCCTTCAATGGCGGGAGTAGAGCTGACGCGCGTGCCCGCCCACAGGCCTCAAAGTGCGCGTGCCCCACGCGCCCGTCCCGCACGCGCCCGTGCCGACCGGGCGCCCGGCGACGCAGCAGCCCAAGCACTAAGCTGGGATGTGGGGGGGGGGGGGGGATTCCACTCCCCGGCGTGCGGCGTTTTTGGTGTCTGGTGTCTGGTGTCTGGTGTCTCGTGGGGGGCTGGAGGATGGAAAAGCGAGCGTGTGTACGAATACGAAGAGGGGGTGTTGCTTTCTCTTTCTCTGTGTATGTTTTCGCATCGTTCGTTCAAGGTGTCGTATGTTGTATGCACGTCGGAGCTGCCTGTTCGTTTTAAATGCAGGGGTTGTGTACGAGTTTTCTTTGCGTGGGGCGGTGTGGACCTGGACCATGATGCATGATGGACGACGTGCGCGGGGGCATGTGCGTTGGATAGAATTTCGAGCAAGTGAGGTGGTGATGGTACTACATTTTCCCAGATTTCTCTTCCGCCCTCTCTTTTCGCCGCCGTCGACCCCGCTCTTCACCTCGTCTGTCTAGACTGGTAGCGCGTTACATCTCCCCGCATTCTGACATCGAAGGAGCGTGAGCGCGTTATTCCTGCAGGGAGCCCGAGAAGCAGAATGAGACCGCGAGAGCACGGGACGCAGCGTAGTCCAGCCCGTCCCTTCGGCGCACATCCAAGCCGGCCACCCAACAACCCGACACCACCATCCAGCCGTCCAGCCGTCCACCCGTCCATGATGCACGCAACCATTCACCCAACCACCGTCCCCCTCCCTTCACCTAAACAACCACAACCACAACCACAACCACAACCACAACCACAACCACTTGAACACTTGAACACTTGAACACTCACCGACGATCTTGACGGCCAACTTGGGCCTGTTGTTCGGGCCGGTGGGGACGGCCTCGATCTTGCGCAGGGTGAGCATGCCGTCGAGCACGCGCCCGAAGACGACGTGCTTGCCGTCGAGGAAGGGGCATTTGGCGGTGGTGATGAAGAACTGTTTGGCAGGGGCGGGGCGGGGGGTTAGGTGGGGTGATGTGGTTGGAGAGATAAGGAGGGGGAGAGGGGAAGGGGAGAGGGGGAAGAGGGGGAAGGGAGGAAGCGGGAAGGGAGGAAGCGGGAACCTCACCTGGCACCCGTTCGTATTCGGCCCCGAGTTCGCCTACAGTCGCGGTCGCGGTCGCCGTCAGCACCCACCCGGGAAGCGGGAGAAACGCGTACCATGGAGAGCAGCCCCGGGCCGCTGTGTTTCTCGATAAAGTTCTCGTCCTGCATATGGGGCGGGGCGGGGGTGAGCGCGCGCGGGGGGGCAGAGGGGGGAGGGGCGGACGCACGGGGAACTTGTCGCCGTAGATCGAGAAGGAGCCGGTGCCGTCGCCCTTGATAAAGTCGCCGCCTAGCGCAGGGGAGCGGGGGTGGGATGGAGGGAAGAGGGGAGGACGGCTTGAGTCGTTCGGTCAGGGCGCACGGCGCGCGCGCGCGGGGGCGTACCTTGCACCATGAAATTCGGCACGCTTCGTGACACCTTCCTTTAGCACTCCTCCTCGCCACACACATGGACACGAACGCACACTCTGTGGAATACCGCGCCCTTGTATCCCTGCGGGCGCGCGTTGATCCTGCGTATATGACTACAAGGTCTGGATATCGGAGAGAGCGGTGCGGACCTGTACTCGCCGGTGCAGAGCTGGCGGAAGTTCTCTGCGGTCTTGGGGACGATGTCGCTGAAGAGCTCCATCTTGAGCCGGCCCGCGGGGGTCTCGCCGATGTTGATGTCCATGAACACGACCGGGCGTTGGGTCTGCGTCTGCGGCTGCGCTTGCGAGGACATGGTTGTAGTCGGGCACGAGTGACTTGCAGAACGCGCGCGAACTTGCGACCAAAACGGCAGGTGCGCGGCCCCCCCTGCCATTCTCCTCCTTCCCCCCGCCCAGCATGTCCTACTTCCTCCCGCACCTGCCCTCCGGCTGGCACGTCGACGAGGCCATCAAGTCCGAGGAGGACCGCGTCGTCGTCATCCGCTTCGGCCACGACTGGGACCCGCAGTGCATGGTCATGGACGAGACCCTCTACGCCATCAGCGAGAAGGTGCAGAACTTTGCCGTCATCTACCTCTGCGACATCACCGAGGTGCCGGATTTCAACAAGGTGCGTGGGGTCAGCGGCGAGCGAGCGAGCGAGCGAAGGCTGATTGGAGGCAGATGTATGAATTGTACGACCCGTGCACGGTCATGTTCTTCTACCGGTACGCTCCCTCCTCCATTACGCCCGCCTTCCTTCACCCCCCAGCCCCTCCGCAGGAACAAACACATCATGATCGACCTCGGCACGGGCAACAACAACAAGATGTGCGTCCCCCCGCTGCTCCCCTCTCCCACCTCACTCACCCCACCCACAGCAACTGGGCGATGGACAACAAACAAGAGGTGTGTGTGTGTGGCGTGTTCCTGTCTGATGTCACGGAATGCTGATAGGATCTGCGGAACTCACCAGATGATCGACATCATCGAGACCGTCTACCGCGGCGCGTCCAAGGGGCGCGGCCTCGTCGTCTCGCCCAAAGGTGCGCGTGCATCCATCCACATTCTCACAGACGACGCGAGGTTGATGGCGTGCGTTTCAGACTATTCCACGCGGTACCGGTACTAGATTCCGCCCGGCCGCCCTCCCCATCCCGCTTCGTGCCTGTGTTTTCGCGCTCCTGTACTGCAGCTGCTGTATCCATACCATACCATACCATACCATACCGTCCTACACCTTTCCCGCCTGTTTTCTTCGCTCCTACGCGATAGAGAATGGAATGCATGAAACTGCATAATATACACATTATCCTATACAAAACCCAGCGCCGCAGTCCACCCCATACCCCACCTCATACTAGCAAGACCCCAAACCTACCTACTCCCCCTTCGTGATACTCGCGATCCGCGCCTCGTGCACCCTCGCGCGGAAGTCGAAGAGGACGGGGTAGCCCCAGAGCGTCGCCGCGAGGACGTACAACACCTACACGCAACAATCAGCCTTCCCGCCGCACACACGCACACACCCGCGTAAGCGAAAACACGCACCCCGACGCCCAGCGGCGTCCGCGCCCGCCGGCACATCCACGCCATCCACGCGCCCTCCAGGCAGTGCACGGCCGGCACGAACACCCACACCGCGCGCATCGCCCGCGCGCCGAGCCACTCGCGCAGGAGGGCGCCCGGCGTGTGGGGGGCGGCGAGCGTGGTGTAGACGAGCAGCGCGAGGAGGAGCGTGGGCTGGTAGATCTGGAGGGGGAGGCGGAAGGTCGTTATGGCGGGGGCCTTCGTCTAGGGGGGGGGGCAGTTAGTATCGGCGTTGGGTGGTGGGCGGGAGGAGGGGAAGGGAAGGGAATAGGGAAGGGAAACAGGGAAACAGGGAGGACGCACCATCCCGAGCGCCGCCTCCGCGTCCGCCTTCATCGCCAGCAGGCGCGGCTTCACCTCGTCGTACCCCCCCAGCGGCGGGTCGAACGGGACGCGCACCTCCGTCGCCGGCGCGCCCTTCGCGCGCGCGTACGCGAGGGTCATGCCCTGTGGGGCACGCAGAGTCAGCGTCCCCGGGCAGGCGAGGAAACGCACGCACGCACGCACCTTCGCGTCGATCCCGCGCATCGCCGCGTCCGCGACGGCGCCCTGCACGCCCGCGTAGTGTTTCACGTACGCGACGAGCGTGTCGGGGTGCCCGCGCATGTACATGCACAGGAACGCGGACCGCGCCGCGACGGGGTCTTTAGCTGGGCGGTCGGGCATCGTGTGGCGGTTGGATGTTCGACGTTCAGAGGTGGTACGGGGGGCCCAACGTTCGAGTGTATATATGCCAGAGCGGCCAGTATGTACTCTACGCCGGACGGTCGCAGGCCCCGGACACAGTAATGGTGTACGCGTCCGGACGTCGCTGATTGGGCGGCGGTGCCGGCCATGGCTTGCGCCCCCGTCCCATTCGTCCTGCATGTACAAACTATTCCCCGCTTACACCGACGCGATCGACAGGCGCAGGTGCAAGCGTGCAGGCTCTGTCGACCCGCAGCGTTGACGTTGTCTCAGCGCGACGGGGTATGATGCGTTGTCCGTCCCGCTCTGGCGACACGAGCCGAGCCGCATTTACTTACCAGAATCAGAGAGCCTCGAGGAGAACAGACTGATCGTCTTCCTTGACAACGGCTCGCGTGTCCACAATGGCGCGGCACCGTCACAGCCAGTCTGAAATATATATACTGCACCAGCATACGCACCTCGCCCCCCCAAAGATCTAAGCAGGGGCCAGCATTCAGTGCTGGAGCGAGTCGCTGCATACACCTGGGCCCGGAAGAGACTAATACTCACATGGGACGGCTGCCCTGCGCGCCCCGCCACGACGAGTCCGGTGGTATCAATATACCCGAAGCACAGAGGACCATGCAGCGCGAGTCTGAACCTAGTCAGCGGGAGAACAGACAGATCCTCTTCCTCGGCTCGCGTGTTCCCGTGTGAGAGGGACAGCGGCGCGGACACCAGCACCATCGCAGCCCGCCTGAAATACGTGTGCTGTACCGGCAGACACGGCTCCCAGCTTCCGCCAATCCTCACTCGAGTTCGAGATGACTGCAGCCTGGGCGGCAGCACCCCTCTGGTATATCGGGGTTGTTGCCGTGCAGATAGCCCGGGGTGCGAGCAGCCAGATCACCGATCGCAGCGCCGCGGTGGAGGAGCGGCATCCGAGTGTGGCGGTCGCTCGTACTACTGCGGTAGACAAGGCGCCACACGCGGGACTGCGAGTGACTCTGAGGGCTTTCGTCGCGCACATCAGACCCCCCCCCCTCGAAGGGATACTGCTGGCGAGGAGGCAAGGGTGCCAGGATAGTGTGTGGGGGGCCGGGAAGGAGAAACGCTACGCTCGGCGGCAGGTTGGACTGCGAAGTTGTAATCACCGGGACACCTAGCATATGTGCACGCGCTCAATGAACCGAGGCGCACGAAACAATCCGAGGGCGTACATGCGAGCTGTTTGAATGCGTCAGGATACGGTGAATCGGGAGATTCCTCGAGAGGAGATGGCGTGTGGATGGGGTCTGGATTGGGGACTAGTGGGAGGCCGCTAGGTCCCATGCGCGGCGCGGCGAGGCAGGACTTGGCTGCAGCAGCACGCCTGCGAAGGTGCGGTCAAAGGGAAGATAAGAAATATGACGTGCCGCGGCAAGTCTGAGAGACGTGGATCGCGAGTGCGGTGGCTTGGAGCGACGCGAAGAGTTTGCACACAGCGGGGGCGCCGGTGCGCGTGAATAGGCTTGGAACTGGCGCCTCAGCTGGACTGTGGCAGAAAGTCACAGCGCCTCGAATATTGTGTGCCACCCTGGGGAAAACAGCACATCTGCAAGATGGAACGACACATCCGATCAGAGTTTGGGGTGAATAAGCTTGAGATACAGTGCAGATGACAGGATAGAAATAATAAACAGCGAAAATGCGGGGAATGCTACAACGCGCTACGCGGACCCTCCGACCTCTGTAAACGAACGCGTCAGCAACGATGCCACATAGCGAGACGAGACGAGACGAGACGCACGTTCTACCATCACATCAATCGTGTCTGCACGACGCCCTTTATCAGCGAGATCGACGACTGAGACAAGGCGAGCAGACGCACCGTTATCCTCCATCTCTAACGACGCCGGCGTGTCGTCTTCGTTTATCCGGTTACCGTCGTACAAAAATCTACACAGAACACGACACCGCCGCGGTCAGCATTCCGAGTCCACGCGCGACACAGCAACTCGGACTCACCGGATACTGCTGACCTCCTTGCCCACTTTCGACGCATACGCCGCCTGGAGCTTGCTAAGTTTCGTGTTCCGCTTAATTTTGAAGAAGACTTCCTCTCCTGATGATGTTACCACCTACTCCCCCGTTAGCCTCCACACCGAGCCACAAGCACTGGCACGGAAGAAGACCGCACCTTAATGTTGATCGGCGCGTTCGCGTCCTCCATCTTGGGGACCGGGTCCTGCGTCGCCTGCTGCTCCTCTTGGTCGGACATCGCTCGCGTGCGTGCTGGTGGGTGCTCGGAGGGAAGAGGGGTGGAGAAACTTGAGGCGGGCGGGCGAGCAGCCGTTTCGTGTTTTAATCTTGTTTTGCGAAGTGGCTTCAGCGCAATGATTACGTAATTGTGGTAAACGTCGCTTCTTCACGGACCCCTTCCATTGCCGAGGCGGTCAGATGCGCCCTTGTCCTCTGCATCCACTTGTTCGTCTGTCTTTCGTCCCTGGTATGAACGGCCAAGGTCAGTATTTGCTCGGATTGTAAAACCTGGCGCAAAAATGTAGCCAGCGGAGGTATTCCGATGATCAAGTCGTAGACGTCGATGTACGGGTTATCATCGAAATATCTTCGCTTTTACTTGTGCAGGTGCACGCAAAGGATGGTACACTCAAGGCAAACACCTTGAGAGACATTAAATACAGGTACAAAGTCGAGGTTTAGCCTGCCCTTCATCACTTTGCCAGAGGTAGCGACCATGCCATGCCACTCGTTTGCTGACAGGCGACATCAGTCTTTCATTCGAGGTACGTGGACCACATAGCCAATATTGGGCTGGATACAGATCCAAGCCGTTGCGCCGTCAGGCCCTCCCGCTCATAGGATAGGGCGTACACGAAAGCGAGCAGCACCGTTCAGCAGGCATCGTCCAAGCTGGAGGCGTATATGCGATATCGTACAGCTACTGGTACATCAGAGACCCAGACTCGAGAGTAGTATAGATACAGCTGGGAGGTTGCGCCATGCCTGCCCAGGAAACCATCGAATTCCTGCATCCGCCTCTGATCCCTCTATGGAAAGGCTCTGAGGAATCGACGGTGAGTGCGTCTATCCGAGCTATCGTGTATCCTCGACTCGCGGTGGTCGCTTGCTTTGCTCGTTCGGGGTGCTGAAGGAAACCCGGGGCCTCGAAGTATACCTGTCTGTATGCTGCGAGACCAGACAGGGACGTGTTGGTCCCGACTCATGCCTTGGGGACGGCGCAGCGCCATCGCTGGTGGGAGACTCGACCGAATCTTCGGCGCTGGTGTAGCGACTGTTTGTTACCGCGGTCGGACTCGTTTGTGTCATCTCGATCGAATCACGTATTGGCGAAAGGTTCGTCGAGAATCGAGTTTCCGTTGTCTGGACGTCGGTGCCGGATGGTGGATGAGGGCGCAGGTCATACAGATTGAGGACGAGACGGCAGCTCTGCAAAACGGACAGGGGGTGAACATGAATGCTTTGAACTGCGGTATCGCTGGAGGACGTACTGCGAAGGAGAGGATAGTCATTTGCCACCTGCATGGCTAGAATTCAGCACTCGCTGTCAATCAAACCCTCCAATGAATACGCACACCAACACCGCAGAGTCTTCGAAGCCACCCAACAACTTACTGATTAGGATGTTCAGGAAGAGGATCACTTAAGCAGTATATAAGATTCAAAAACCAGCGTGCGATACGTGGTAGCACTTGCCGAACTGCAGCAAGAAGGACCAGCCCCCGTCTCTAGCCATAGTTAGGAAGATGGGGGTCCGTCCCCAGCCGTCTCTGATCGCTCTGAGGGTAGGATTCAGAGTGAGTGCTAGAAGAATACTCTGCACTCCCAACGCTACAGTCCTGCCTTCCTAGCGTGAGCCACAGCGGCCAAAGGTGGGAAGAACGGGCTTACACGAGCCAACTGAAGAACAATAGAGAGTAGTGTGAGGCAATGGGAGTGCAGATAACCGTGAACTCCATCCTTGGTATGGCTATTGCAAACATAGGGATGATGGCCAGCAGCTCACTTGCGAAGAGGACCACCAAGCCGCAGCGGACTTTCCGATTCCGGTTGTATAGCGCATAGACTTTAAGCAGTGTCAGAATCCTGGTATGGATGATCGGCAACAAGCAGACCTCTCATCATGAGCATGGCTTCAGTGGTAGAGGTGACGGCTTGTATCGCCAAGCTTTGGAGGGTGAACCAAGCTTGACACACGGGAAGGTTCCCGCCCCAGACCTGGAGGACACCGATGTAATCAAGAGCGAAGATGCTAGGAGACCATTAGGCTCACTGCACGATACGGACGCGGCGCACTTACATCTGGACAATGACAGTAAAGTATCTCGCGAATATAAAAAGCCATTTCAATGGGGATCTGGCAGGTTGCCTGGCAAGGGCTCAACCACTGCGAGATTGCTCGGAGAAGAGCGAACGTACGACCAGATGTATTCGACCTCCTGGTCAAAGGTGATCACAATATCCCATACAATGAATGTCAAAGAAGCGACTAAAGAAACTGAGCTATCACTCGGAAAGCGTGCAGCGATTCTAGGCGACTCACCGGCACTGTATTCCACGTTGAGGAGGCCCTGGATTAGGGTGATCAATTCCCCAAGGTCGGTAATGGTGGGGACTCCACTGTCCGACATCTAGCATTAAACCGACTGCACTACCAAGAACTCGAAGATCAAACTGGCAAAGGTACTATGCTAACGAATGGCCACGACGGCTGCACATAGTGGGGGCGTAAACGCTAGTGAAGCGTCTGCGCCGGAACCGTAGAAACTGGAGTGGGAGAAGGAATTCATGATCGTGCGAGAGCTGCGTATTAGTCCCAGGGGATCTGCATGCAGGCCACGCCGAGAGACGTGCCATTTTCGGACACCGTAGAAAATGAGAATAGCGCTTGGCATGGGGCACCCGTGCAGCGCCACGGATGCTGAATCGAACGGATCCCGTAAGATCTATCTCTAACCTGTTGTTGTTTATCAGTAAATAGGTGAGCGGTTTCTACTTTAAATTTTCATGACAGGCTTAACGCAGGCACACTGGAATTACTCCCGGACGTTTGCAGATTCTGTCATCCACGTTGTACATATCTGTAGGTCCTACAGCCATTTGCAGATCGATGGGCCCACTTTTTGAAAATCATTTACAGTCGGACCACGTCGGACAAGCAATTTCAAGTCCCCGAGAGACAGAAATCAGACCATCTGGACTTCTCTACCTTCTTCCGACGTCCCTGGCACCCACTCCGACCCACTCCGACTATACGTGGTTTTCTGAATTGGTGGTCTATCGATCTGCAAGCGGCTGTAATTTGTTGGGTAGGTAGCTTTCAGACTGTCAGCGTCTCGGTTGAGTTGCATTCGTCTCTTCCCCATTGCCGACGAAGGTGCCGATAAACACTTGACAAACCCCTCACGATCCTGGACCCATGCCGCGAACTTGGGTTGGAACTCCTACATGAGGCCACGGAAACAGCGAAAGTATATAGCCTTGCGTGGTTTTGCATTCGTGGAGACTTCATGTTCAGCTTCCTGTGGCAAGCGGTCGTTGACAGATGTGACATGGCAAGGTCTTCTCTTCTCTTTATCGAACATCAGGAATCAGGCTAACTCACGTACGAGTACAACCTGAGGCCTAGACTAGGTTCAACTTGAATTCACTCTGGGGGCGTGTAAGCTCTTCTGGAATTGATAAGTAGCACCCGAGCTAATCGATTGTGCTGGACTAGAGCCCACGCAGCGCTCAAGCAGTGCGGACCTTACCTCTGACGTGATTCAGGCGGGAGGACGTAAAGTACGCAGGCTTCCATTATCCCTCCATACCAGAACTGAAACGGGTGAAGCATGGCGACCGCAACTGTCAAAGCTTGACGTTGCCGTACACGTCAAGTCGCTGGGCGCAACCGGCGGCACTCAAGCTTGCAAACTTCAAGGTAAGGGTCCCACAAGATCGTTGCGTAAACGCGGACTTCGATATGACTTCCCGCCGACGTACAGGTAACTTTTCCTGAGATTGACTCGGCAGAAGCGAAGTCTGTGGATCTATCGAGCCAGGATCGCTGCGGACTTTGCCTGCACTGGTGGCATTAGCACGTGGTGCACTCAAGACCCAATGGTCTACCTTACCCACCTCCCCCCTTCTTCCGGCTCGTAAGTCCTCCAGAAAGGTTAAAAGATGATTTCGACACCAGTGAGGCGCTTGAACAGTCGAGGCGTTCGGCACAAGTACGCTGGCATGACCTGGAACGGTATGTCTGCCCTGCTCCCTGCGTAAGGATGACACAGAGGTTGCAAATGTTGAGTCCTTGCACGGCGGTACATTTCATAATCATGTAATGCGCCGCTTGCAAAGCACTTAGCCTATGCTACCGCTCACATCACGTCCCTTGGAGGCACTGCACCAACCTCGGGAGAAAATCCGTAAGCTCGGCGGATCCTACGTCTACGTCCACGGCACTGGCTTGAATTGAATTCATAGACTCGTCCCACCGGACGGATCCATGATGTTCGAAGCAAGTGCCCGTCTGAACCCGGGCTTCGCTGCCTTGCGGTTCCTTCGGCCACTTGCTTTACACAGGGCCAAGGACCCTGCGGGCCAGTAATCGACAGCCTCTTTATCTTCGCTCGTAGTGGGACTCCCCTACCCGACAACGCCGCTCAGATTCTCTCCCCCCCCCCCCCCGGCGCGCTGGCATCGCGAAGGGCGTCAGATCCTGCCCGGTCGTGTTTTGACACGCCATACGTGGGCGCGGCTGGTCCAACCAGACGAAGTCCAATACAGGACTTCTCCGCCTTTGTCGGCCTCGGGGAGCGGGGCGCCTGCTACCTGCCCTGGACTTGCCGACCAGCCGGCAGAGCCGGGGTTCTGCTCGGGGAGTATCTGCCCTTGAACGAATATGTCTAGACCACTGCCGTCAAGGGCGCGGAGGCATGGGGATGCGACGAATCAGACAGGAGGGGGCGTAGGTGGACCCTGACATGAGCTTCAATTGAGATTGCGTACCAGCAGCTCTAGGTCCGTGATCAGCATGAGGTGACTGCGATGCTGATAACAAGATTTAAGGATGCTTCAATTGGTTAGGGTGGAGTCACAGGTGGCTTGCGTCTTTGGGGCGACGAAGGGATTCGGAGGGATGCGGGCACTCTGGGACTCGGATATTTTTAATCCACGCAAAGACGGGACCATAAACCATTCACAAGGAATCCGAGAAAATGGGTTGCTGATTTTCATTCCACAGCAGGAATGGCAACTCTGGAGAAACATACTTGACATGCTACTGTATGTGTGTCAAGTTTAGAAGGGTGCTCGAACCCATGTACCGAATCTGGAAAAGGATTTCCGGCCCCCCCGGGGTAATAGCACGCAGCTCAGAGATATAGTGCCTACTGATCACGGGCCGGGAGGTCGTAGAACTTCGCGCTATTAGCTACAAGCGCAATACGATAGCAAGTTCTCCGGTGTAATGTATTTTGGGATTCTCGTCCCAGGCAGCCGCAGCTGAACTGAGCCGAAAGTTCATTCAAGTCATGCAGCAAAAAACCAACACGTATATATTCGTTAATCCATCTACGATTACCGGTACATACTCTACATAGGACATCCATCTCGTGGGGTCGAAACAAGGTACTATACATTTATTAAGTGACCCATAAAATACGGCAAACATCCGACACCAAAAAGGCGACATAGACAGACCACGAACAACCACGCCCGATGCCGGGCCTCAATAGCCCTTCCCAGTCTTGGCCAACAGTCGTCTGGCAAGCCCATACTCCTCATCTTCTTCCGCGCTCGAGTCGTCCCAGACATCCTTCTCCTCCGCCCTACTCTTCCGCCCATTGCGCATCGCCCATCCATCAGCATCGGCGTCGTTAGCCGCTCTCCGAGGCTTTTCTGCGCTGCTACGAGCGTCACTCCAAGGTTCGTGTCGCTCGCTATCGTCCAAGGCAGGCGGGGTGGGAGAGAACGTCGGCTCGAGAGACATCCGCACGCTCTTCCTCCTTACCGGCGCAGCACCCGCACTGACCTTGGTGGCTGTCGACGCGGTCGAGGTCGACAGGTCGGTCCCGTCAGGGCTGCGGCTCCGCGGGGTCGGGCTAGGATCGTCGTCGAATACCTCGTGAGCGGTCTCGAAGCTCATAATCGACGCGGCATCGTCCCCACCGCCATTCTGAGCAGCATTGCCGTTGGACACATCACCGTTAGACAGAGAACTCGGGCCATTGTCATAGAGCTGCGTCCGCTGGGGAGCAGCGGGAGACGGTGAGCGACTCGAGGTACGGAGCGCAGACTTCAACGGCTTCATCCCTGGCACGGGCTGGTGCACCGTCGGCGCAAGCGTCGCACTGGGCCGGCTGGCGCTCTTCGCCGTAGCAGAGTTCGAGCGGGACAAGCGGCTCTGACTTCTACTCGGGCTCGGCTCGCTCTGAGCGAGCTCAGCCTCAAGCCTCTCCCTCGTGACCGGCGGCGGCGCCCGGGGCATCTCCAGCTTCAAGTCCGTGCCAGCCCCGGTGAACCCGACCCTGTTCATCTTGGACACGTCCTCGACGATACTCATTAAACTCTGCGAGCCCGAATTCGGGAGCCCGTCCAGTCTGCGCTGGCTTTTGATAGTCGAAGACCCAGCCGTCTTGCCCTTGTCTCTGGACGACGGGGAGTCTGCCCAGGTGACGGTGGCCGTGCTCGAGCTCTCGTTTAATGACGAGGAACCATGATTAGGCCGTTGTGTATCTAGGGATCCTCCGCGTTTGCCATGGGCCGTGACGCTGTTACTCCTAGCAGGCCCGGCCTTCGCGGGTATCCTCGAGGTATTGATGATCGAGGGAGCGGAGGCTGCGCTCAGAGTTGAGCGCTTGGAAATGGACGAGTCCCTGGATAATGTTCCGGAGCCGCCGGGAGGGAAACCCGATGTCAGTATAGACTTCGTCTCCCTCGTATTTGACGCGCTAGTGAAAGCTGGCGGAGGTCCGCCGTTGACTTCGCGTTCTTTCCCTTTAGTGCTTCGCCTGATAGTGCCGGTGTTTGATCCGCTAGCGGCAGCTCCATCGCTCATCCAGCCTTTATCTTGTAGCGACTCCCTCTTCGGTGTTCTTTTCTTCAACCGCTGGGTTCCCCCAGGGGTCGCACTGCCGCCCACGGAACTCCAACCGTCAGGGCCGTACTTCAAACTTCCCGCCGCCCCGATGCCACGCGTGCTCGGCCCCTCTTCGTCACTGCTGCTGTCCCTCCTCTTCCGTAGATTCCTGTCGGTACGCGTCTGCCATCCCTTCTTATTCCCGAGCCTGTCCGAAGTGTCTCCGTAACTATCCGCATGCGATTTCCCCCTCCATAGAGTAGCCAGTCCACCGAAGAAGCTCTTGCTCCTCGTTCTCCTCTTGTCCTCATGGCCGGCTTCCCAGACGGGGCCTACGTCAGAAACCGACGTCGGGAACCTTACATGCCCTCGATCCCCGCCTCTCACCGAGAACGTCGACGCGCGCTTCGGGTTCGCAGGCCGCGCGAACCGCTCGTTCTCCCGCACCTCCACGGGGCCCTCTTCCTCGCTCTCGCTGCTCCCTCCCTCGGGCTCCTCGGTGATCCTCCGCTCCAGAGCATGCGGCAGTACAAATTCGGAGATTGAGTGGGCGGGAGGGACATGAACGTGCACGTTGGAGCTCGAGACGGAGGAGAATCGGCGCGAAGGCGCGGGGTCGTCTAGCGAAAGATGGACTTGGGAGGCGGACTGTGAGGGCGTGAGCGAGGAGAGGTCGGAGGGTGGCCCACCTTGCCCGTTACCGGTGGTTTGGTCTGAATTGGGTAGGGGTAGGGGTTTGTATGAGGAGGGATTGAAGTTGCCTGACGCTAAGTTGGGTCAGTCTCGCAGTAGATAATTGATGTGTGAACTTGGGCAGAAAGAAAGCTTACTGATGTGATCCAGCGCGCCCAGTGCTTCGCGGCCCATCTCCCCGCACGTTGCAGCGCACTGCACGAGGGCCCTACACCGCGCCTCCAGCCCCTTCTTGATCATGCCAACGCGGATTTCCTCCAGCTCTTTCTCCTTCACTGAAAGTTGTGCTTCGCATGCCTGGAGCTCCGTCTGCGCGGATGCAAGCTTTCCGGAAGGGGTGAATCCAGACGAGCCCAGAGAAGTCTCCGACATGGAGGCCCGCATGTTGACGAGGGAGTCACGGTTGGATTTACCAGACTTGGAGGCCTTGAGAAGGCGGGTCACTCTATAAGATGCACTTCAACATAATTCGAAGTCGAATATAAGAGAAAGAATTCACAATATATCACGATCGCGTAGAATGTTCGACACTTCATCCTCTGCTTCTTTGACCTGCTTCAGACACGCCTTCCACTCCTCCAGCGCATTGTAATATCCTTCCACCGCGCCGTCCACATTGGCAAGGCAGGTAGCGACTGAGATAATTACATGGGACGTCGGCGGCGCAGAGGCTGCTGCGTAGGCAGAGAACGCGGCAAGCGAGGACGCCGAGTGTGCCAGCAGGCTCTGGAGTTGCTTCGAGTATGAAGACTCAGCGCTAATCAGCGAGGCCAGAAGACGCGAGTCGGGATGTCGGTGTACCATGCGAACGCTGCCAGAGACGGTGAAGACGATGGCGAGGAGGACGGGGACGACGACGGGGATGAACCTGACGGTGTGGGGCTGACGCGAAGCGGGAGGCAGGATTTCCCGATCTGGATATGTTCTCGATCACGGCGCGCCTTCAGCCCGTCGAGATTGGCGATGCCGCCGGCAGCGAGCCCAACGACGTCGGCTACAAGCAGCCACAACCAGGTCCATAAGTTCGACAGCCACAAGCCACAGTTCAGAGCGCGTCTGGCGGGTGCTATAAGCGGTCCGCTCTGGTGTCTCTTTATCTGCACAGATGACAGGCTGACGGTATTCGTGGTGTGGTCGGTGAACGGGGAGCTCCGTGTTTCTCAGGCCAACGGTGAAAATAGCGTAAAGGCTTGGGCGACCGTAGGAAAGTCTGTCCAGCATGATAGGGTGTATTTCTCCTTATCTATGGCTGCAAAAATGCGTCTTCGTGCCTCCTCTCCTCGATAATGAGCTCTCTTGCGGACCAGGACAAATACCAGGAGGAAAAGTCTACTGGATCGGCAGAGGTGCAAGTCAAAGGTGTGGACAAACATGACAACGACAACAAGCTTTTAGCCAGACTAGGATACAGAAGTGAATTCCGCCGGGAATTCTCAGTGAGTAGTACAGAAGCGTACAATGAATTGCATGATAGCTTGCTCATCAATGACCATGCCGTGTTGCAGCTCCTGGAAAGCGTCGCGTTTGCCTATGCCATCATGGGTCCCGTGGCCGGCGCGTCTTCCACTTTAGCCTTCGGACTCTCGTCTGGTGGGTGAAGCTAGTGTACTACTTACTGACACGGGCGAAACTAACGCGACCATCCATTGAAGGCGGTCATGTCGGAATGGTATGGGGATGGCTTGTCCCCTGCTGCTTCGTCCTAACGATCGCAGCCTCCATGGCCGAGCTCACTTCGTCTATGCCGTACGTCATGCATTTGGTATGAGCTATGTGGCATTGATCTCAATTGACAGAACGAGCGCCGGCCTATACTACTTCGCGGCAAAAATGGCATCTCCGAAATATTCAGCCTTAGCAAGTTGGATAACAGGGTGGTCTAATATAATCGGACAAATAACCCTTGTCTGCTCCATCGACTTTACCGCGTACGTTCCCCCTTCCCCAATCATTACTACCGCCAATGTACTTGCACCTCGTTTAATGATAATCTAGGGCGCAGTTCATCTCTGTCGCCCTCTTCGTAGGGTCCGATGGAAGCATAAACCTAAGCACCGGTGCCCAATATGGTATTCTATGGGCGCTTGTACTCTTGCATGGCGTAATCTCCTCCTTCGGGACGCGGATCCTCGCGCGGCTCAACGTTTTCTACGCCGTTCTGAACTGTGAGTGATACGAACCATGATCTCTATGACAGTACGTTTGACGCCCACGAAGTGGGCACCTCGATCACTGTGATAAGCGTCTTGTGTAAATACGCGCGGCACGACGGGGTGTCGGCCAAGGTCGCGTTTACGCAGTATGAGAACAACACCGGCTGGAGCAGCAGTACGTTTGTCCATGGCTAGTTTCTGAGCTCTAGTTAATAGCCCCTCACAGATGGATGGGCGTTCTGCCTTTCTTTCCTGTCGTGCATGTGGACACTCACAGGTAATCATCCCGTTTCTCGTCTCAAGCAGTGATGTTATTAACAGCCTACCCATAGGCTGTAAGTCTCCCATTCATACGCTGCCGTCGCATTCTACATGTATGCTGTAGATGATTCCGCGGCGCATGTCTCCGAAGAAACCGCCAACGCCTCCCGCAGTGCACCCCGCGCCATCTTCATGGCAGTTCTCATGACCATGATCAACGGCTGGCTCATCCTCATCTCCGCCTCCTTCGCCATCACGTCCGTCCCCGACCTGCTAGCCTCGCCATTGCCGCTGCCCATGGCGCAACTACTGCTTACCGTGATGGGCAAGCACGGTATGCTAGCTGTGTGGAGCTTAATTTTCCTCGTCCTCGTCAGTATCAATCTCCTTCTTGTATAGCCTGTCAGCTAAAAAGCGGGCCGAAGTTCATGGCAGGTGCCTCGCAATGCGTCGACGCCTCCCGCGTCGTCTACGCGTTCGCGCGCGACAACGCGCTCCCGGGCTCGCGCTACTGGCGCCGCGTGAACACGCACAGCCAGACTCCCGTCAACGCCGCGTGGTTCGTCGTCATATGCGCGGGCATCTGCGGGCTCGTCGGGTTTTCCGACGCTGCGCTGTCGTCGCTGGCCGGGTGAGCGCCGTACCCGTCATTCCCGCTGTCCTGTGTACTGAGTGACTGGCAGGGCATCGACGATCGGGCTGTACATATCGTATGCCGCGCCTATATTCTGCCGGATAACCTCCGGGCGGCGCAGGCTCAAGCCCGGTCCCTTCTCGCTGGGCGCCCTCGCGGTCCCCGTGGGCGCGGTTGCGGTCGCGTGGGTCGCGTTCATCACGGTTGTGCTGATGTTCCCGAGTTCCAGCGTCCCGAACGCAGAGAATATGAGTGCGTCTTTCGTCAAGTGCATGGATGAAGATGTATTTACGTTAGGATTTTGATAGATTATGCGGTCGTAATTATCGTGGGGATCTTGGGCCTTGCTGGGGCGTGGTGGGTGGGTGGTGCAAGGAGATGGTTCAAAGGGCCTGTGCCGAATATTGAGGGGGTCGACGCTGAATATAAGGAGTATACTCCGGACGCGTAATCTAGACAGACATCGAAGAGGGCGTCGTGCAACAGTTTTGTGGTGGAAGGATGTTGCAAGTCTGATACTTCCCGGTGTAGATATTTCTTGCTGTAGCTATACGGCGGTGGTCCTCCACAGTGGTAGGAGACAACATCATCAACATGTTGGATCTCATTGCGGTATGGAAACCTTGATTCTATGATAAAGGGGTGCAAATATAGTACCATCTGTCCTTTGGTTTGGCGTGATTGTAAATATCAGAAGCATGCGGAGTCTTTCGAATGCATATCGTTTGCTGTCAGTATGAGCTCACCCTGCCTTGTCTCCAATCTCCTCGCATCATTCTTTCAGGCTTTGTGAAGAATATGGTCCACAGGCGGCGTTGAGACTTTGTGGGGAACCAGCCTTTGACCTACGAACTAAGGCTAAGGTTCTCGATGGTGGCGTCTAAACTTAAACTGAACTACTTCTCGACAGAGATGAATCCCTGCTTCCTTTGCATGGAAGTTTGACAAGGGACGCGAGTGATTACCGGCATTCCTGAGCAAGCATTCAATCGTATATGGTCACAGGTCGCGTTCGTGTCGCATCGTTCTCAAGCATATACCGGCTGAGATTGGGGACCGACGTCAAGAAGTTGGGAATCGATAGCGTCTGAATGCGGATCCAAGGTTTAGCTCTCCCTACGTTTCACGGAGATCTCACGCGGCTCAGGCTGCGCAACTTGAATATACAACGCCTGGGTAGCTTTCGCAGCCCTACGAGTCGGAAGAACGTCTAGTCTCTGGTTTTTGCACCGAATCGAATAGCTCGATTAATATTCTCGACTCAAGTGCATGGCATTGCGATAGTTGTCGATGCGCCACATAGCCACCCGACTTACCACATAAGGCAGGTGTCGTAGATCGAAGGCCGCAAATTCTTCCGACCTCTCTCATTGCTGTCCCGGGACCCGGACTTCGTGGTTTTAGAGCGCAGATGGTAATGATTAGCGTACGTTATATATGCAGTTAGGTACTAGTCGCGGCGCTACAACTTGCCGCTGAAGTGCGTATGTATTGCTATCAGGTATGCTTTTGCTTCGGTCACCGATAGTGGCCGAATGCTCCAACTCACGAAGTTCCCTGCAGGCATGCATGCTACGCCTGCACATATCCATCTAGTCTTTACAACTCGCGTGGTGGAGCGCAAAAGTGGAACAGATGGGGACGGATGGACTTACTGTCCGCAAGCCTCGTTCTTTGACGGCCCTCGGCGCAGGCCCGCCAAATTAAGCCAGATTAGCTGTCCACTGCCACCCCAGTACGGGCGTAATATGGATGGAAGTGCCGCGGCGTGGATATTATACCGACGATTCTAACGTTTCTTGATCGAACCCTGGTCGGAATTAGTTGTCGGTCTTCTCTCGCCCTGTGTGGCATGTGGCAGTGTGTTCATACTGGTATGTGAATGTTGGTTTCTGTCCTCTCTGTCGACTTATGAATGGACGAATGTCTAGATTAGAGGTTGGACGACAGACTTGGTCTCCCAAATTGTACATATGCATCGGAAAGGATAAGCCGCCGTCCCTGGCTCCCCTGGGAAATATGTCAACCAATATTCTGCAGAAACCCGAACTCTGGTTGGCATATAGGTATATAAGTCTGGCATTGCGATGTTTTTCTTCCCATCTCCCCCTCTACTGGAGCTCGCTCTTGACTCGCACTAATCCTCCTCAGCCACTTCACATCTCAGTCAGGTAGGTCGCTGAGCATTCTAGCGTATACACCCACTGACAAAAACCATCTTTCAAGCTCCAATTAAAATGTGTCTCGACGGAAACAACGCGCCTCACTCGGCTCACTACATAAATGCTCAGCTTACAGCTCTATATGAGAACTCCGAGGAATGTGTAGCACACCACGCCCACGGCCTCAAGGCCCATGAGCGAGTACGTTTTGACTTCGCGCTCGCAGAGTTCTTCTACAGCCACCGAGGAAGGGTCGCAGCGGTGGAGGACATGCTATATGCTGCCGAGTTCCACAGACCTGAGCTTGAGTTCGTCTGCAACCACGAGGTCATCATCCGGTTCCATATTCACAACGGACATCTCAACCTCGACTACGCGAAGTCCGTGCAACCAGGTTTCTCCCCCAGCCGGTATGCATTTCTCCTTCGTTGAAAGTGGATGATCTGCTCAACCCAATTTATAGGGATCGCAATGTAACTCTCAATGACGTTGAAGTTGCGTTCCGGGTTCCTTTCAGCACAAGCGGTATCGCTGGTAGCACGTCGAAGATTGGCAACGGGGTGCACGTCATTAAGCTGATGATCCTTGATACGACCAGTTCGTTATTTCACTGGAGTATACTTATTTGATCAATTGCTTATGCCTTTCCTTTCGTAGAGGCCCGCCTTGCATCCCACGTGCATGTCCAGGATGGCCATATTCGCGATGCTCTGGTCTTTTACATGACCAAGTACATCGCGTATCTCCAGAGGGCAGGCCGCCACGTGTTCTACTCACTACCTGACTTCGACAACGACGGTAAGGAGCTGTTGATCGATTACTCATCAACCTGTAAGCCCGAGTATCTGAACTTCGAGGGTATCGACTTCCGCGGGGTATCCATCGAGAAAATCAACAGTAACCTCTCTTCAGCATGGCTCCAGGCCGCGATGCTTGCGGAACGCTATGCGGAGGGAGACGTCCATATCGGTTATGAGTCTGTTTGTCTGGCGGAATACCGCAGCACGTGGACCACTATCGGGAACGATACCGGCTTCCAGTTTAAGATCATGTTCGACGCGCCTCGAGTGAAGATGCTCTGTGATCGCGAAGCTGTATTGTACTTCAAGATTGGGGAAGTTAGCTTCTTTGACACGGATGACTTCACTCAGTGAGTTGTTTTCTCTCTGCAGATTTACACGACGTTCTCACTTCTCTGCAGCGAACCGCGTCAGACTTACGAGAATTTGGAGATCGCTTTCCTCGTCGACCTCGTATACGAAGTCAACTCAGAGGGTATCATTGTTGACATCAGATTCGACCTCACCCGTAAGTAACCATAAACTTCGATCTTCATGATGACAGAACACCTATTCTACAGAACGTCGCTTCTGTGAACACCTCACCTTCTACGGCGAGGTCGACGAGACAACGGAGACTTTCTATGACTACCGGGATACCCTCATCCACTTCTTCAACGAATACTACTTCTCGATCCTCGAGGGCGCGAAACATCACATTATCTACACTCACACGAAGACCACCACCACTATCACCATCGATGTGGACCGCGAGATCGCTGACTGGCGTGCCATCGATCTCGAGAAGCACAAGGAGAGCATCTCCATCATCCGGGAGGAGCGCATAACAAAGACGCAGATGTTCGGATTCGATTATATCCAGGCGATTACACAGTCGTCGATCGTGGATTACTTCGAGAGTATCTGGCGGCATGCGGAGGGGTCTACCCTTGAATATCTGGGCTGCTTGACGAAATGGTCGTACGACCAATACTTCGAGTCGAGCTTCGGGCCCATCAGAGTCCGTCTTCTGTCCAATGACAAGGCCATCGTCTGGATCCACCTCCAGGAAGGACATTTGCACACTCTGAAGAACAGGCAACCGTTCGCTTCGTAAGCATCGTTGTCTCCCAGCATGTATATCTTGATATTGAATGTTTTCGCTTTAGGGGCAACCCTAATGCCTTCAGCGACTGGCACCTGGCCTTTGAGGTTGATATCAAGATGGTTGACCACGAGGATCTGGTGGCGCACTGCGGATCCTGGGCTACGAGATTCAAGGACTCGCCCGCCGCCAAGCATCACAGTCAACAGGGTCATGTTCATTTGACTCACATTATCCTGGACTTCAGCAGTAAGTCCATAGTCACCAAACATTTGAACTATTTTAATCCTGTTGCTAGCGGCCGAGTTCGTCTATGATCTCTGCAACTTCCACGGGCTGTTTGAAGGTGGCGGAAGACATGCCATCGCCCTGCTCCAAGCGGCTATCCATTATATGAAGCAGCACTACTTCCCAGCCTTGGTCAACCATGGTCACCACGTCCTGCACACGATCCCTGTCTGGGGATCTCGCTTGGACATACCCGCGTATGGGTTAACTTCCATCAGGTTCCAAATTTATTCCAAGGAGAAGTACACCCGACACAATTGCCTCAACGTGTCACCGTTCTTCCAGCCTGTCATCATGATTCTTGGGATGTGCGATTTCCGTGACTGGCCTCGCGAGCATTTGGAATACAGCGCAGAGTGGGTTATTGCCCATGAGAGGATAACTCACGGGACCGTCGCCATCTCGAGGCAGCGCTTCTTCGAGGAGTGTCTCTTGGAGAAACTTGCCATAGTCAACAAGAGTACGGCCATCGTCCCCACTTTTTCGGGCGTCGAAAGCGGCGAGTGGCAATTGGAGGTCGCGACTTGGCTCGAACATGATCGGAAGAGGAACAGCAGCGTGACCTGGCAGCTCGTGAAAGAGTCCCACGAAGCGATGGACTATAAATGGGAGCACGGGGACGAGTGGACTTACGAGCATCATGGCATGTCGCGGGACACTAACAATGGGGTTTATTGGGTGCGGAGTGAGTATGCAAATATTTGCAGATTACTTCTTCCGCTGACTTGATTCAGGCCACACTCGCAATGACCTGACGATACCGACGTCGTTCAAGCATGGTGGTCTCGAGATCAAGCTCAAGGGCCAAGTAACTCTGGAGATCGGGTTTAAGAGCCACGAAAAGCAGTGGAGGTAAGTCGCTCATCCGTAGTCAGTTGCCCCCTGACTTAACATCTCTTTATCGCAGCACAAAGGCCGTTGCAAGCTGGAACACGATCATGGCTTTCGTTTCCGAGCACAGCGGCGTCGGCATCCGCGTCTACGGCGAAACGCGCCCTGCCATCAGCACGTCGCACGTCCACAGCGAGCTCATCAATACCCGCTTCACAGCCCTGAAGAAATTGCTCGAGACCCACCTCCCGTCCAAGATCGACCTTGCGGACCTTGCCCAAGAGCTGCAGTCCTCCTTCTGCGGCGAGTGGAAGCTCTGCTACCCCGGCCTTGGTGCCTACTGCCTCACCAACCCGGTGTTCAACCGCCACGGCGACATTCTGTTCGAGACTCGACCCGTCAGCGTTTCGCCTGGTATTCACCCGAGAGTCGGGATGGCCGGCGCGGTTGGCCGCGGTCTTCCTTCTCCGCTCTCTTCTCGCCCCGGTTCAAGGCAGCCATCATACGCTGGTGCGCGGACGCCGCCCAGGAGCCCTAGGGGTGAGTTCCCATCTTCATGTTGAATGCTGGCTTCACTGACTCCCCTCTCCACAGCCGCCCAGAGCCCTAGCACTGGCCCGAACAGCGCCCTCAGCCCGTTGAAGACGCCAGTTGACTTCACCCAGAAAGCTGCCCCGTCACCCACCGCCGCTCCCAAAGCTGTATCTCCCACGAACGGGTCAGCTACCGGAAACGGTGCCGCTCCCGCTGGTCCCAAGCTAGCTGAGCCCGCCAAGCCTGCAGGGGGTGTTGTGCGCACCGACGGCAAGTCCGCTCCCAGTGCCCCAAAACTCGCCGAGCCCGCTAAGCCAGCTGGGGGAGTTGTGCCCAAAGACAATGGCGTCCCCGGCCTCGCTGAACCAGCCAAGCCTGCCGGGGGTGTCGTGCCCAACGGCAACGGAGCAGCCACTGGGAACGGCGCTTCCCCCGCCGGCGCCGCCGCGGGTGCCGACGCTTCCCATCTGGAGGAGATTTGAGGCGACCGCGAGGTGGGCGTCCGAGGGCGCAGCACGGGCCTATAATATATTGGGTGAAATGATTTCACGCATTGGCCAAGTTTTGGAATGGACTTCAAGTTCTCTATCGTATCGTCTCTTCAATCCTCCACCTCTCCTTCCTGTGCATCAACCTTCTCTGCAGTATGAAATTTAGTAGTCAGTATATTGCGTATGTTGCTACACACGTTTGTATTTCCATCATTAATCAACACCCTTTGCTCTCGAAATCAACGGTTACCGCGACTGCTCAGACTGGACTTCTGTACTTGAGGAGATAGCCACAAATGAGTGTTGATCGGACAATGCAAGAAAGAACAGGATAAGCGAGAGGGCCATGATCGATAATATAATACGTTAGTCCTCCGTTTCAACTCCACCCGTATCTTCTAGTCCTCGTGCATCCCGCTGCAGCTCCTCCTCTTCGACAGCAACATTGTCCACCAACTCCTCGTCCTCCTCCTCTGGCTCGTCCTCAGGGATCTCCTCCTCCGGGATATCCCCCTCCTCTTCAGGATCAAGCATGTCCTCGTCTTCCTCCGGGCGCACGCGAACAGTATTCCCACTTTCATCTTCATCCACGTCCTGAGGTTCCTGATCGGTCTGAGAGACAGCTGAAGGGACTGCAGCCGCCTTCTCTTTGCCCTTTGCCTTCGCTGGCGAGTCCGTTTCTTTCGCCTTGCCCTTGCTGGCGCCGCTTTGTTTGCCTTTCTTCTGGGTATCTCGGTAGGCTGTGGAGTAATCAGACTCAGATACAAAGAAGCAGCGATTGCTTTCGAGCAGCCTTACCTTGCAGTTCCGTCTGTAGCCCGGGCACCATGTCCGCGAACTCCAGGAGCTCGAGCGCCTTCAACACGTCGGTGGCGGAAATGCTTTTGTGCTGCTTAGACGCGGCAACATCGTGTGCGCTGCCTCATACGCTTAGAGGACATGTAGAAGAGGCCTAGCGGGGTGTTTGAGGAACTCACGTTGCAGCTGATAACGCACGAAGACTTGAGACCTCTATCCAGCCCTTCTAGCCGTAGACGCAGACGCACCTAAGTAGTTGATAAACACCGTCGAGCCCTTCACCAAGGACGTGACTACCTCCTTTTGCAATTTCGTGTTCTCTGGTATCTAGAAGTCCGAGTACTTGTCAGATCTCGCGATGTTGGCCAGTGTGGCAAGACGCGTTACCGCGGATTTCGCGATCTTCGTGATTAGACTCTTTGGTAGCTCATAATTTTCTATGCCGACTGCGTCCTGTTGGTTTTTCGCGGAGGGCGCCTTAGAGAGGTTGCTAGACGAGTCCGCTCGAGGCATGGTTGGCGATAGGAATGAGAGGGATAGAATAAGAGTGAACGCGCCCTGTGAATGAGGCGCGTCGCGTCTTCCGAATCCGTTCACGGACTCACGGTATGAATCCGTCATATCACGGAGGCGTGGCGCCTGTTATTTGTGGCACAAGGGAGCGAAACGGAAAAAAATTCAGTGATCATGTACCCTTATTCACAAAGCAGCCCATGACATAGTGTAGTTTTAGGCGTTCAGCACATCGCCTAACCCAAAAAAAAGAAAAATAGTTGGGAAATCCTTTGTATATTATGATGTATCACTCCCTTCACCCTTCCAACGCGTCGTCTCCATCTTCTGCTTCAGATTCATTCCCCTGTTCTGACTCATCCTCTCCACCAGAACCATGCTCCCCAGCGTACTGATGCCCCCCCTCAGACCCACCATCCCTCTCGCACATTCTCACGTCCTCAGGCACGAAACCGCCCTTCACCAACTCCGCCGCCTCCCGCACCACGCCCATACAAATTCCCCACACCCTCCTCCTATTCGTGAACCCCAATGCCTCCACCTCACCCACACGCAGAATCCTGTACACCTCCCGCCAGTCCCCACCTTTCCCCTTAGTCCACTCCAAATCCGCCGGGAGTACGCACGGCAGGTACGCAATGCGGGCGCGCCAGAATGCCTGCGACGCGTCCAGCGCGAGGGACGCTACCGCGCGCGAGGCGAGGCGCAGCGCTGCGACGGCCGCGTCGGGGAGGTAGGACAGGACCTGGAAGAGCAGTTCTGCTGGGAGGCGCGCGAAGGCGTCCGATTTCGTGTTTATGTGCCCGAGCTTGGGAGGCGGGGTCGACGCGGCTGCCAGGGGCGGCGGGTTGGTGAGGAGCTCCCGCAGCGCGGGGACATTGATCGGGTCCGATACGTATCGCTATGTAAAACGCACAGAGTCAATTGCTTACTCTCAGGGTGGAGTGAGCACGGGCACACGCACCTCCTCTCCGCGATTGACCGTCCAGTACTGCTCGATGCACGTATGCCCATAGTCGAGCTGCAGCGCGCAGTCCACCCCGCCCTCCGCCTCGCAGTGCGTCCCGAACACATGGTGCACGACGCTCCACGGTATCCTCGTCGGCGCACCTGGTTGGTCCTCCGCGAACGCCAGCGCGGCCTCGAGGATCTGGAAGCACCCGTCGTGGAAGGGGTATGCCCACAGTGCGCGCGGCGCACGATCGTCCGGGTCGCCATACCTACGGTACCATGCTGTTACAGGTGAGAGGGTGCGGGAGGTATCACTATACGCACACGTCGATGGCCTCCGCCACCCCGTCCTTGTCCCGCGCGTCGAGATCATCCTCGTTCTCCACATCTGATCGAAACGAAGCCCAGTTGAACCGGCTGCTACCAGGGGCTACACCTTGGAAGCGGACACACCGTCGTAGAGGTACGGCACCGTAGCCGTGTTCAGCGCTGCGCGGAGCCGGTGAGATGAGTTGAGTTGAGTTGAGATTGAGAAGGGATAAGTTGAGACGTACAACACTCAACCCCGACCCCCGAGACCCAGTATCCATCCCGCACGCGCATGCCCGTGGGGTACTCCCGCTGGTCGTAGTACGGCGCGAGCACGCGCAGGCGCACCAGCCACTGCACACCATAAGTTGATATTGCAACCGCGCTTTGCGCACAGTGTCAGAGAGCACGGACGCACCATCAGCTCCTCCTTCGCTACCCGCTCGCCGTCGTACGTATACTCAAAGTCTTCGTCGCCCTCTACGAGCGTCCGTGCGTCCTTGTCGGGGTCGGCCGGCCCTGCTCTCGTGCGCTCGGGCACGCTGAAGGGGCCGCCGCAGAGCGCGCAGAAGTATTGGTCCATACCTTGGACTGGGCATTCAGGATGCCAGTATGCGCCCTTTTATCCGTGTTGGCGTTGGATGCCCGCTTGCCCCATCAAGGTCTAAACGTTCACGGGTGATTGACTCGCAGGCACGCAGGGGTGTTACCATCCGACCTGAGAGTGCAGAGTACGCCCGGGTTTATCAGACACGGGATACAGACACAGCCCTGACGCCAAGGGAAAGTTGGGTTGGTCGTTCCGGAGTTGCTACATGGTAATAGATGGTAATGTTCCTCTCAGTATGTACATCCATCTGGCCAAGGCACTCGAAGAATAAAGTGAGGATAGGTGGCAGGGACATGGAAGTGGGATTCTGGGAAGAGCTCGTCTAGAATCTGGATGAGCGTCTTCCGTGGGATTCATGTCCCGTCCAGGAATAAAGTGTGTGGCAACTGTGTGGCGCCTTTTGTTTGTGGCATGCGACGGGAGACCCGAAAGCGAATACGGAACTCCAACCATAGTCAGAAGTAAATATCCATTCCAGTGATACCGATCTATGACCATGAATTCAGCCCAGAAAGCGAGAAGAAAAAAACAGGCAATCCTCTGTATTTTATGATGCATCGCCCCCCTCTGTTTCGTCGTGTCCTTCAGATCCATCCTCCCCTGCAGAGTCATCCTGCTCTGGGTGCTCATCGCCCCCTTCATCTATATCCGCCTCCTTAAAGCCTCCCGCAACCAAGGCGGCCGCCTCCTCAACCAAACCAATACAAATCTTCCAAATCCTCCTCCGGTTCACAAACCCTAACGCGTCCGCCAACTCGCCCTCGCCCCTCCCAGCCGCCTTCAAAGTCTTAAACACCTCCCGCCAATCCCCACCTTTACCCTCAGTCCATTCCAGATCCGCGTCGACGATGTAAGGCAGATGTGCGATCCTTGACAGCCAGAATGTCTGAGACGTCTCGAGGGGCAGGGCCGCTATGGACCGGGAGGCGAGGCGGAGGGATGCGACCGCTGAGTTCGGCAGGTAGGACACTAGCTGGAAGAGCAACTCCGGTGGGAGGCGGGCGAAGGTGTCTAACTTCGTGTGTGCGGAGGAGAGTTTCGAAGGTGACGACGTGTTGTGTACCAGTGAACGGGGATTGGCAAGGAGTTCGCGCAGCGCCCGAATATTCACCGGATCCGATACATATTGCTAGCCCAACAGTTACGATTTCAGCGTATTTGCGGAGTGGAGCCCGTGAGGATCCGTACACACCTCGTCCCCTCGACGGGTGGTCCAATACTGCTCGATACAGTTGTGCTCATAGTCCAACCGCAAGGCGAAGTCTACCCCACAATCGGCTTCACAATGTGTCCCGAAAACATGGTGGAGCACGTTCCAGGGTATGCTGGTGGAATCGTCCAACTGACCCTCCTTAAATGCAAGCGCGGCTGCCAGGATCTGAAAGCAAGCGTCGTGGAAAGGATACGACCACATCTTGCGAGGCTCGCCATTGCCGAATTCTCCGTAACTAACGCTGCATTGTGAGAACAGGCAGGCGACGGCGAAACGAGGACATACACAGTGAGGTTTGCCTCGACTTGATCTTCGTCAAATACATACTGATTACGATCCTCGGGAAGCGCGGCTGAACCAATCTCATTATCGATCAAATGGGTCCACTGCAGTCTGACATACCTTCATATAGATACGGCACAGTAGCCTCATTCAGAGCTGCATATCAGGCAATATGAACAACCGCGATGGAGCACAGGGGGTATAGAGTAAGAGGGTCGACACACGTACAGCACTCGTATCCAATCCCCGAGATCCAATACCCTTCGCATCCGCTCATACCCTCAGGATAGACCCTACCGTCCTCGCGTTCATCGTTATAACGGGCTATAACCCGCAGACGGCGTAACCACTGAATACCGATCCAGACATTGCACATAGGAGCAGAAAATACGGACAAGGACGTACTAGCAACTCCTCCTTGGACACCTTCTTCCCGTCATAGTGGTGCTCGAAATCGTCGTCGCCCTCAACGAGCGTCTGGGCTTCCTTGTCGGGGTCGTCAGGACCCGCTTTCGTCCGCTCGGGTGCGTAGAAGGGGCCCCCGCAGAGCGAGCAGAAGTATTCGTCCATGTCTTCGCGCTGGCTGGGGATGGGATGTAGGTCTTTTTATTTTCCACTATGTTGAGCAGGACCCCCGATAATTGGTATAAATGCCTGATCAGGTTCCGGACAAATTTTGGGACTTTAGAGCCCTCAATGGCTGATTTTTTACAGACAAATCGGCCGATCCTGGAGAACAGGCCTGATTTTTTTCCGGACATTTTGGTCAGACTTGGCCATTTCGACGCCATATTTACCCCGGCACCTGCCGGGGAAGCTAAAGTTAGACGTACCCACGCCACAGTTGCCTTTTAGAGCCACTTTTTCGCTGTGATGCCTGTTTTTTTCCGGACAAAAGGTCCAAAATCGGCGATTTTCTTCCGGACAAAATGGGTCTACTTATGGGTCCTCGGGATCAGGCATTTATACTGATTATCGGGGGTCCTTGTTGAGCGCTCGATAACTCCATCAAGGTCGAAGCGGGTTCACGGTTGATTGACTTCCAGGCACCCGGGGTCGGAACAGGGGGGTTGCCAGCAAACCTGAGAAACCAAAGCGAACCCGTGCTTATCATCGACACGGGACGCAAGTCATCCCGAAGACAGGGAGTCAGAGCTCAAGTAAGCGCTCCGGCATCGGGCCTCACAATGCGCAGCGACGACTCGAGTGCTGAGCCCATGGCATTCGCATGGGGTGTATGTAAGGAGAGGGTACGGTAGACTGTTATATAGCAGAGAGGAACCCCATTTTACCGTATCACTTACCTAGTATGGTCTTATTAATATTTATACTTACTACCTCCATGTATGTAGTCCGCATAATACTATTTATTTATCTTCTTCTCCCCACCTCTTCAGTTTGTATGAGTCTACATGAACGGCTCACATAGCACAATGAACCTCGAGCTCTGAGTGCTCTAATGCCATGACAAACGACGAGGACTCATCGAATTTCTCTCAGCTGAAAGACAGCCTGGCGCAGCGCCTTCTCCTCGTTCCGGAATTGAACTCTGCGGACGCAACAGCGTCTGCTGAGCTCGACGACTTCGTATCCTATCTGGCTTCTGAAATCTGGCCTCGCCTACCTGAAGAAACACGAGAAGCGTCGTACTCAACCGTCTCCTCCTTACCAGACATTGACGAGCTCCCTCTGGACGAAGTCGCCCCGCCCACTTTTGTCGAAACCCTCGTCTCGTACGGTATCTGCTCGGACGATGACAGCGCCGTCAGATGGCTCCGAAAGGTGCTGCTTGATTATGTCAAGGAAACTTGTGCACCTCCGCCCGTATGGTCAACTACGCGGACCAAGGAATGCGAGTTGTGTGGCCGGGAAGTTCCTCTGACGTACCACCATCTGATTCCTCGGTCTACGCATGCCAAGGCTCTGAAGAAGAAGTGGCACCCGCAGGATATGCTGAATTCAGTTGCATGGTTGTGCAGGTCTGCTCCGCCTTCCCACATTGATATTCCCTTGTACCAAATAACAATGCTACCAGGCCTTGCCATTCAGCCGTGCATCGTGCTGCGTCAAACGAGGATCTCGCTCGGAGCTATTATACATTGGAACTATTGCTTGAACGTGAAGATATCCAGAAGTGGGCAAAGTACGCTTCCAAGCAACGATATGGCGTGAGGCGAGGTTGATGTCCCACTTGACGATATCGGTGGACACTTGGACCTGTATATTTGGCTTGTAGTAGTATGTATCAGTAAGGCTTCGTTTCCTACAATTTCTCCTGCCTGTCCCTGTATGACCTTGAAGTCAGCTCGGAGAAAGAAAGCATGAACCTGTGATCCGCGTTCACCAAAGCACCCGTTTTCACCTCTTGGTCCGCTAGGCGTCCGCCAAGCGTGCATACCCCAGTCCAAACAGCCCCTTCGAATTGCCTCTTTTATTCGCGGAGGCTGCTCTCAAACCAAGTAATCGCCAATTACAGTCGAAGGGAGCGGGCTCCTAGGTAGCTAACTGTTTTCTTTTGGTAGTACCGTCACTCTCTTCAGGTGCTCCAGCCATCATATTTGCCCTCTGGCGTTCGTGCGCACTCGGAAAATTGTGGGGGGGCCCGATTAAGCGTGTCACAATGCTCAGTCCGACCATTTTATACCGTAAGAGGGTTTTACTTCTTCGCACAAGGTGTGCACTGACTCGAGAACGTTCTTTCTAGGGCGCCGCTGGTATCTCTCAAGAAGTCTTCGCATTATGGCATCGACTGCCGCATGGCTGATCGTCAATTACCCTTGACTTCGCCGTGATCACGTCGTAATTAACGTGGCGTGCTAAACGTCGCTGCAAGGTCACAGATAAAAGAGTCCTCTCCGCCCACACCTCGACCCATGAATGACTACGTCGTTGACGAGTATATGTGCTGCCTCTGTGGCATTCCCTTCCAGGTTCCTCCGCGGACGAAAGCAGGCAGTGATGACCCTGACACGGATGCCCCAGCCGCCGAAGATGTGGAGGAAGACCTAGATGACTACTTCGACGGGGAGATAGTGTCCAAGGACGATTTACAGGCTCGTACACGATGCTCTCAGCTTTCATTTGTGTGCTAACTTCAGGAGCCCAACAGTGGATAGGCCGCGTACGAGTGATCGCTCGATACTCTAAGGACGGGAAAAGTGAGAGCGAAAAGCCATACCCTGAAGGCATGGAGGTAAGGGACGGGTATTGGATCTCAGGGATTGGGTTAAAGCCACGTTAGTTCATCTACCGTGCTCTTCGTTATTGGCGATCATACTGATCCTGTGTGATGCGAAGTTGTTTATGAGGCTGAGGTTACTGTGCCGTTTTGCTATAACGGCGAGTCTCGCTGGATATGTGATTATCTACTGCTGACGATACTTCTAGATGTGCTCCCCGATGATTCCAGTGAATGGGACGACGGCAAAGTGGAAGAAAGCTTGGTTATGTATGTTTGTTCACTAGTTAAATTCAGATAAATGAGCTCAATATATTCCTAGTTACCGTGGCGACTCCCCCGACGAACCTGCACGATGGTCGTACCCAGCCCATGACGCGTGTTTACAGATCCTCGAAGCTGCATTTATTTTCAAACAAGACCAACTCGGTGCTTCCACTAAACTGTCGTGGAAACTCCTGCACTACGTCTTTTATGAATATATGCCCGCTTTCGAAGAAATTGGTTCACTGCAAGTCGATTATCACCTTGGCGGGGAGTTTGGAGACCGGTGGATGGTTGTCCGAGGGGAAGAGGTGTGTATATCACTGTATGTTTCGAGAGCTTGGATATTCAAGAGAATGACACTCCGCCTTAACAGGAATGTGTGTCTGATCCTATCAATGTTCCGAGTATACGAGTGCTTCTGGCCAATCCGCCACCTCTTGAAGATATTTCCCCGTCCTCTGGCCATCCCATGAGGTTATCAAGAGGGCCCAATAGCACAGATGTCTTTGCCCGCCTTCCCCCAGAACTCGTGCTTTGGCTCGTCTCCTACCTCCCTGACTCGGCTGTTGTCGCCCTCCGCCTCGTGTCCCGTGCCGTCGCCGTCCTACCGCTGGAGGCGTCTCAGGCTTTCTGGATGTCTAGGATCGCGCACAGGCCATTGATCATACCAGCGGATCTTGAGTTCATGAAGAGCAGACATGGCAACTGGAGAGAAGTTTATCTCAAGCTGAAGACGGCCAGGAAAAATAATGGTGAGTTAGCGAAAGCCCTGGGTTTCAGAAACCGAGCGAGGATCTGGAATGTTTGCACGTTCCTTGTCCGAGACGTGGCGATACTAGCTCAGCGAGGGGAGCGAGGGTGGAGGGAAGACCGTAGTGAAAATGAAGAATAACGTAGAAGACGAGGAGTCGCCGGCAAATATGATGATATATATTCATCTGTTCGCCTGTTCGTGATGGCGAGGATTTCAACCCTTGATATTATTAATCCCAGTGCGCCCATGGCTACTTAGTGTGCAATTACAAGGGATAATACAGTATTCAAAAGGTCCCTACCCGAAATTCGCCTAGAAATACACGGCAGTCTATTGCAGTCGATAAGTATCAAGTCATCAAGTGCTGCTCTGAGTCAACCGAGATGCCTCGCTAGTACTCCGCGAGCAGTCGCTCACAAAGTCCTGTATGAAATGCATACTTTTTGTCAATACTTTCTCGCTAACACCTTGTCTCCGTAGCCCGTCAATGAGACGGGGATCGAAAGACTGAAGCGGCTGCGCGAAACCCTTTCCATCGGGTCCCATGTGCACAATATGCTGGAACGTGCCGGGAATCGGGCTCGAAATGTCGTCCGATGTGATATGGATCTTTTGTCGTCGCCTGGAACGCAAGATGGTGGCGGCCTGTGCGTCTGCTGATAGGGAGCGACGTGGTGAGCGTCATGGCACGGGCATTTCCATGGTCGACAGACGTACCATCAGGATAGACGCGCGTGGTGACTTTGCGGAAGAACGTCGATCCTTCTTCGTCCTCCTCAAATCGGAGGCCATACGTGCGGCTCTGTCGTTTCGGTCAGTCGCGCAGCACTGGTTATCAAGCAGGACTGCGAGAAATATACCTCTCCTCCGAACGTGTGCCAGAAAGGTGTTTCTTGCTTATAGTCGAAGAGTCGAGGGATCCCGTGCCTCCAGGTTTCCCTCTCCTTGTGCGGATCAATCATCTTGAACCAATACTTCTCTTCCTCCGCTTCCCTCCTGTCCTCCACCTCTGGCGGTCGGCGATTTCGCCCGAATACAAGTACCCCTTGGTGACCGCTGTAACTCCAGTCCAGCGATGTGAACCGGGCGTGGTACAGCTTCACATGCGCCGCGGCCATGATCTTGTATGCCTGCGATGGAAGGACATTGCGGATAGCGCGTTTCTCCGCGTTCGATAGCCATTGCACTCCAGTACTGTTCGCTTGCGCCATAGCTGATGAGCAGTACGACGTGCTTCAAGTAATGGGATAAGACAAGACAAGAGCTCTGTCCAGGATCCGCTTACGGAGGTGATAGATCCTTATACATGGCCTTGTTGGGAGGGTACCGACCGGATATGAAAAACACGCTGCAAAGGCATGTCCCGCAGGAAAGCACGAAGAGGGCGAGATCAGCGTCTTTGGGACTTCTTGCACGTCTTGAACGGCGTCAAGCTTTACCTATTGCACTGAATGCAGGCTGTGCAAGGGCTGGTTATAGGCAATCCCTAGGTTCTTCCTGGGACGTAATGCTCCACGTCGGAGGTGCCTCGGAAGAACGTCTTGCGGGCCTACGACTGTCTCGCGAGGTATCAACTTACGCTGCCTTTGCGGCTCGGCTAGGGAATCAGCAATGCTGTACTAGGGTTTTGTTGCCGGAACGAGTCTTGATTATACATTATTTGAAAGCAGTGTATCGCCCGCGCATGCCCTCATTCGAGGCTAGCCCGAGCATGCGCAAAGGTCGAAATTGCAGTTGCACGGAAGCGTGAATGCACAATGACAAAAAAGTCACATTATTACACATAATTGTGACGCTCAACAAGGCTATACATTAGCATTATGAACGATAACTCAAGCGAAGGCTCCAACCTATGCACCATCCACTAAAAACAAGGATCTCTCCGGAACACAGCTAAAAGACAAATCACGCATCGAGCCAACCCGTCCTGCGCATGTCGTCGGCCAGGCCTTCCCAACCTTTTTGACGCGCTTTCCTCCCTGCAAGCTCAGTAGCAAACCTGAGTGAAGCAGATCAGCTTGTCATCTCAAGCAAAGAGGAACTTGATCGCCGTACCTAAGGCACTCGTCTAATCGCCACTTGCCTTTATCTTCCTGAGCATCGCCTGCCGGACGATTATTCGTAGTTCCGTAAGGGGTGTACGGCGCCCCAGGCAAGATTCTCCGGCTCAGTGCATAGATCATCCCCGCCACAAACGCGTCCTGCGCACCGACCTCGTCCATGACTTCCCCAGCTGCGCCGTGCCGAGAGGGGGTTTTAGCACGATCAGTCGGGGCGATCTCCGTGTCCTGCGAGGATGAAGAGGATGATCTCCCACGATGCTTCGGGATACGCCTGTCTCCCGATGATTCGCCAGAGGAACCAATTGTATGGTAAGATGCCGCTGTGTAGGAGGAGGACGAAGTGGTATGGCTCCCTGCCCAGAAATCGCTACCGGTCTTCACGGAAACGACAGCATCGCTGTCGGTCTCATCGCCCGCTACCGCCATCCCTCTGTACTGGCGCGCAAAGGCAGAGTCCACGGTGTTATCTCTCGACTTCCCGGCCTGCTTGTCGTCGACCCAGCCAGAGCTCTGGAGATACTCACGCGTGGGGAGGGAAAGTAGGGCCGCCCCCTCCGAGCCCCAGTGCGCGACCAGGAGTGCGTGCTGCGGGACGATTGGCGTCAAAGAGAGGAGGAAGGCACGGGGTGTCAAGGAGTAGCGAGGGGAGTGCGCTTGGGCGTAGTGTTTATTAAGGAAAATCACGTCCGCATGGGGAATCAGCTACGCATATCGGAGACCTGTGAGCCCTGTTCGATCAAGAAAGTAATGCATTAGCTTACGGCTTCAACTCCTTGCCTGGCGCGTCGCCCGACGTCCACGCTGAATACGCAATGACTCCGCCATCGCCTCTCGCGCGCGAGCCCGTCTAACCCTGCCATATTGTTTAGTGTGGTCTTTACCGAGCGGCCTTCGAAGTGGATCCATTCGAATGGTGCTGGGCTATTGGGGTTCGTCACTGGCAGCCTTGCCGGTGGAAGGGGCGGCGACTGCGGCTGCTGACGATACTGAGGAGCACCCGGTCCTACTGGGTGGGCATGCGTTGTCAATGTTGGAGAATGAGAAGGGGAGCTGTAGAATGGATAGTTCTCCGGAATAAGTATCGGTCCTAACAGGGACACAAATTCTTCGTGCGAGATGTCAGGCAGGGGATTGTGGTTGATGACTGTGCGCGTATCTGACTCATCTGAAAGAGCCAAGTCTCAGTCAGTTTGCGCAATGAAGTCATACTCAAATGCGTCCCCTCGGATGAAGAGAGCGTGTCCACCTTGCTGATCCGCCAGGACAAAAGGATATTATCCATGCTGTCTCGGCGGCACTCCTCCCTGCCTACTGGAAGTGTTACTTACCAGCATGCAGAACCCACGCACTGGGTACGCCAGAACCGTCCCATATCTTGCAGAAGCGTAGATTTACTCCCTCATTCTCGAGTTCTCGGATGATCATCCGCCCTTCGTTATTTCCGCCCAATGGCGCCACAAGCATCGCATCGACGGTAGGGAGCTGTGCAAGCAGAGACGAGACATTGCTGGCAGACCCACCCCGAGAGGTATGAACCGAGTTAGCACGATTGACCGTCGACGGCGCAGGGTAAGTCGGCAGACCCAGTGTATGCGTCACAAACAGAGTCCCAGAGACCACTATGCGCAGCGGACGCTCGAGCGCGTTTTGCACGGTCTCCTGAGTGTCCCGCCGACGCCTGGCCATGTGCAAGCGGTCGTAGAGGAGCTTCAGCTTGGCGCGTCCTCTTCGTTCAACGAGCGGCGTTCTCGGGCGGATTGTCGAAACAATTCCAGGGGAACTAAGGCATTGAAGCTCGTCCGTGTAAGACCATTAGAGTACAGTGTCGTAATCGAATAACAGCCTCCCCGACGTTGTGAACGTCGGCAGGGCAATGGAAGGCTGTAAAGAGCATGGTCCAAGGTCGCCTGCCGGCCGTTTGATGGCGCAAACCTTTGCACTTGACCGCCATCTGCAACGCCGGCCATGGCGTCGATAGGCACTCTCTTCTCGCCTTTCAGGAATACATACCGTTACCTTGTATGTGCTTGGATCCTTGTTTGCAATCACGAACTTACAGGATCAATCTTACGGGATGCGTCGGACTATGTCAACAGCAACGCCAGGCCCATGAGAGTCCCGTCATCTTCTTCTCGTGCGTTCTGGGCGGCTTGGGCCCGTTCATGCTCATAACCGTCCCTCCTATCCGAGAGAGATTGGGGTACAAGCCAGCCCCACCGATTCCGACGACATATCCGAGTACGTGCTGTATCAAGTCGGACCGGGACAGGCACACTAATGAACGCGCAGTTCCCAACCGGCCACGACGGCCAGTGCAGGGATATGAAGACGAATAGGCGGTGCTACTTGTGGGGGTAGACGTCTGGGGGGGTATATAGGATCGGACACTCATGTGAACCTCCGCGGTACGACGCCCGTGAATCTATTCAACAGGCTCCTTTGGCCCTCTTCAACATTATGCTTGAACTCGTGTGCTTGATTCTTACTTTCACAGAGCGGAGTGACCCTGACTCAGCATGGACTCGGCTTATACGAAACATCCAAGTTTATTCAGTATCTAATTCCAGTGTCATCGCACTTGCAGACTTGGAGGCTGAGTTCTATTATGCGGTAGCTTGAGTCCAGATGTTCCTCATTGTCAATGAGCAGCCTCCCTTCAAAGGTAAAATTTAGGGAGGGGCAGCAGTTCCTCCTTGCTCGCAACATGCGCTCGACACCGTAATTTGTGGTTCCAGCTAGATATGTTCCCATGACCTCACTGATTTTGCTGATTCCTTTGTTGTGTGCGCAGCTGCAGGCCAGCAACCAAGTGGACTGATGCTCGCTGTAAGAACCTGGCTTAAGTGATAATTTCGCAAGTAGCGGCAGTTCTACCTTGTGCTCATGCACCACCTCAGTAAAAAGTTGGATCGAGAGCCAGCAAGAAACATGTCCAATTCCGACGCTAAAAACACAGTGCGAGATGCAGGGATACAGAGTCTACAAACCCCTCGCGGTCCTCACGAGTCTTCAGTAATATACAAATGCTTACTCGTCAACACCGCCGTCCACCCGGGAATCACCACGATCGTCTGCGTGTCATCGATGATCATGGCCGGCCCTTCGACCACGTCGCCAGTCTGCAGGCTCTCTAACCTGAACACCGGCGTGTCCTCGACCCTGCCTATCCCGTCAAAGTACGTACTGTACGTCCCATCCGCTTTGAAGCGGTCAACGGGCCGTTTCTCGATCTTCTTGACCTCGACGTGGACGGACTCGCCCAGCGTATCGAACGTCTTGCCGATCCCGCGGACCTGGATCGCGGTTGTTTAGAGAAGTTCGATTTTTGTGTACCAGTAGACCAACCTTGACATCATCGACGATAACGCTCTTCGTCTCCAGCAAGAACCCAAACTCGCTCTTGTACACCCGCTTGAACGCAGCCTCAAAGTCCTCCCCCTCTCCATCCGCCTCTTCCGGTAGAATCATCAGGGCAGTGTCGGTGCCCTCGAACCGCATGTTCAGCATGCGCTCGACCTTGACGCGGTCCCCCTCGAACCCCTGCCGCTTGAGCTCCGCGCGCACCTGGCTCTCGAGCTTGTCGAGCCGCGAAATGAGGTGGGCCCTGTTCTGCGGCGTGTAGATCGTCGACGCGGGCTCCTGTTCTTCGTATGCCCTGGAACGAGGGTTGGTCTGCTAGTTGGCTCGAGCATCAAGTGAACGTACCGGTCTGCTAGAGCAAGCCCGTAAGCTGACAGTATAGAACTGTACCTGTGGATAAGAATGGTTTTGATGCCCAGCAGTTGTGCAATGTCGCATGCATGTTGTCCGCCGGCTCCACCGAAACTGCATAATCTGCAACGGGAATTTAGTCCCGAAGCCTAGCTGGACTATCGCAAGAGGAACGTACATGTGTTTGGCGGTTGCATAACCACGGGCCTCCGTCAGCGCACGGATCGGCCTGCACATAGTTTCATTAGCGACCTTGACGAACCTAGCATTCTTTAGGACGAGTCCAGTCAACTATTCAACTCGTAAGGACTCGCCCATATATGATTTCGTCCAGCGACATTTTCTTCTCGTGGGCTTCATTGATCTCTCGCGCAACGTCTTCGAATAGCTTCTTGGAGGCCTCGATGTCCAGCGGCTCCTTCTCAGACTTGCCGAAGATCTTGGGGAAGTAGTCCGGTATCAGTCGACCGAGCATGAGATTCGCGTCCGTCACTGCTAGCGGTCCGCCTTTGCTGTACACAGAGACAGTAGATAAGCATATGGCCTAGACACTGACGCGTCAACTACCTACCGGTAGCAAGCAGGACCGGGCTCTGCGCCAGCGCTCTCTGGGCCCGCGGTGAATAGGCCGTTTCGGAAGGCTAGGCAGGACCCGCCGCCAGCAGCGACAGTGTTGATGTCGAGTTGGGGGGATTGGATAGTCACGCCGGCGGTCGTTGTCTCGTACACCACCTCGTACCGGCCGTCAAAACGGGAAACGTCTGTAGAGGTTCCTCCAACGTCAATCCTGCGTGCATTTAGTAGGCAGCGGAAGATTGGTTACAACTCTGAGGAGAATACTAACCCAATGACTGGATGCCGTTCATTCTCGTCCCAGCTAGTGAGCGCCATACCGACAACTCCACCGGCAGGCCCGCTCAGGATACTCTTGAGCCCAGAGAAGTTCTTCAAGTCCAGCAAACCGCCGTCACTGCCCATGAACTCTACGCGCGGGCTCATCAGACTGCCGTCTTTCAGCTTCTCGTCGAACCCGCTGAAGAACCCGTCCAGATACTGCCGTAGGATCGGCGTGAGGTACGCATCGGCGGTCGACGACACGCCGCGGGGCACCATCTTTATCATGGGGAGGAGCTGGGAGGACTCAGAAACGTGCTTGAAGCCGAGTGAGCGCGCAAGCTTGCCCACTTGGACTTCATGGTCGGGGTAGGTATATGAGTGGACGAGAACGATGGCGAGGGAGCGGTAGCCTTCGTCGTAGAGGCGCTGTAGGTCGCGCTTCACTTCCTCGAGGTCTTCGACAGCCATTCAAACCAGGGTCATAACTGTTGAAGTTATTTCAACTCACTCGGTCTTTTCATGATCCTGACAGCCTCTCCGGATAGACCACGCACGATCTGTCCAGGTCCCTCGGCATCTCCTACACCATCCCAGCCCGCGCCTCGATAACCCCGCTTCACTGAGCCATCCTCGTTGAACTGTAAAGCATGTTCTTCCGCCTTCGGGTCGGAGGTGTAACCAACCAGTGTCACCCGTTCGTCGATTTCAACTACCTTGGAGTAGAGGGGAGAGGGCCGTCGGATATTGAGGTCGAAGATTCGAGGACGGGACTGGTTCCCGATGAGCAGGAGGTCCTTAAATCCTTTAGTTATGAGGAGAGCGTGCTTCTGGCCTTTGCGTTCTAAGAGTGCGTTGGTGGCCACGGTGGTGGAAAGACGAATGTAATCTAGCACAACGCTGATTAGTTCACGATGTCTACTGACTGAGACAGCGGTGGATATCCTCCGCAGGCGAACATGCCACGCACCAATCTTGTCAGTCTGCAATATCGACCCACGGGGAATCTTCTCCCCTGTCGCAATCTCGAGGACTCGACGGATGCCTTCAGTAGGCGCATCACTGTAGTTATTGGGATCCTGGGACACTATCGACCGGCCAGTTAGACACTGTAGCTCGATATAAGTAGAACATCTCACAAAGCTTCACCACGATTTCCTTCGTCTGGCTCTGGTTTTCCGGGTCGGGATACGCCCTAGCGAACCAGATAATTAATCAGTACAAGCCAACATAAATCGGACAGATTGACTCACGCGTGTACATCACAGAAAGTTCCACCTCTATCCGCACATATCTTGATTGACCTATCCGGAATTCTGGTAGCAGTCATCCTGTCCAAATCAGCCTCGGGTTGGGCTTGTATCAGACCAGAGAAGTGCGCTCACTCTTATATGAGTGCAATGCTCCGCCGGAAACCATACGGAATGGGAGGGTCGACCTTTCCGTGCCTTCACCCGGGGAATAGAAGCGGAAAGCACGCAAGTTCAGAACGAATAGTGCGCCTCCGTCCTGCGTTGTTAGTCGTCGCCCTCAAGACCCGTATGATTCGGGCTTGGGAGCCGCTGCTTGACCTCATTGCAAGCACCTTCGGACAGAACCCCGGCCTTCATTCTACTGCCGGCGGTAGGAGCGATAGGCAGATGCCGACTCGAAGGAGAGGAACCCGTTTAAAGTTACTTTACCGCTTAACTTACGAACTTTTGGCACTATATTGCTGGCTGACCTAACTTGATCGAACTTGTTCTCACACCACGACATTCTAACTTGATGTGCTTGAACTTGTGCGCCTATCCGAGTCCTCAACCTATCCTCATCCAGCCCTAGCCATGGTTGCTGGATCTGTCTCGCAGGACTTGCTAGTGATTCGTTACGGTTACAACTCGAATGTAACCTAATGCTAGTAGGGTCTATGCTAATACTACGGAGCCTTGCAGCCTGAGGCCGACGCCCATTCTGTAATCTATACTGATAAATATCAATAAATGTATACTCTTCACGAGCGAGCCACTAGCGAGCACAGAAACCTTGATCCGTCAGGCAACTGCTTCATCGACCTTGATTCGTCGGCTTCTCCGTAGCGGTTCGCCGCTGTGAGAATACGGTCTCTTTCTCCTCCGCTGCGTTTTCGTGAGTCCTTCTGAGTTGTTGTCCTGACCGCTAACTATTTGGCTAGTGGCTTCTCTGCTTGAAGTGCCTTGCATCCGAGTCGCAGCTGAAGGTTTCGCGTTTGCTCCACGAGTCGCTGTTCCTTTCGGTTTGCCTGTTGTAGACGTCTTTTTGGTATGTGCACCGCTTTTGATCCCCTTGGTCTTATTTCGTCCGACACTCACGGCTCGTGTTCTCCCCTCCAAGGCAGATATCCGCTTACTTAAAGGTATAGTGTCATCAGGTGGCAGTTTGGATCCTGCCTCCATCTTCTCACGAGTAAGAGTGTCTTCGACCCTCTGTTCATGCTGATCTTTATCCATACGGGTATTGGTAAGGCCGGTTTCACCTGTGTCTGACCAGACGGGTTCCGGAGGAAGTACACGTGCAAGGACAAGGTTGTGGATACATCGGTTTGCACGCATTTGCCTATTTCCTATTTCGTATGTTTAGCCGTATGTTATTTCCTGAACACTCTTCCTTAGTTATTCCACAGACATTTTCCGAAACATATGATTTCATTATGTCGATTACTTCCACTTTAGGTCTACGTCATACTGTCTCAGTTACTGTATTTATTTAGCTGTACTTCGTCGAATATACGCCAGAATTCTCCTCTCGCGTCTAAGTCTGACCGGTTTTCAGCCCGAAGACGTGGGTGTAATCACACTTTTGCAAAAGTGTGGGTTTACTAGTGCTCACACTGGAGACAGGTCTCTCAGCTAGCTTCGAACTCTTGTCGACACCGCTTTACTTCGTCGCCGTTCCTCGACGCCGCTCGAATACTACACCTTCCATATCGGGTAACTCAGACAGTACGTATCGTCGGCCGACATATCCTGCACGTACTAAGCTACCCCCGTTATTATGGAGCAGGCACAAGACGCCCTTGCTGCCCTTGCGAATACTTTGAGTCCCGAGGCGTATAACGCCCTCCGGAACATTTTTGTGGACATCGACCACCGGCTTACCCAGGCTCAGAACACGGCTGCTACTATACAGGACAT